CCGGCGCCGAACTCCGCCACCGGGCAGCGCTGCCACGGGAACCGGCGGGGCGGCGGCCGCTGATTGGCTGCGGGGGGAAACGAGAGGGCGTGGCTCGAGGAAAGGGGTGTGGTCTGCGTCTTAGGGGGCGTGGCCTGACGGAAAGGGGCGTGGCCGGCCGCCTCTCCTTTCCCCGCGCGGTGCTGCCCCGCGTGGCCGCGCAGCGTGCGCGGGGTCAATGATTGATGCGGGCGCTGAGTCACGGCGCGGGGACGGGAGAACTTCGCTCCCGGGTGGGAGGGAGCGGCCCCGGGCAATGCTCGCGGCCACGTGCGTGGGGGCCACGCGCTCCTTCGCGGTAAGCCACGAGCGGGGGGCTTCCTCGGGGACGGGTCCCGGTGCGCTCCGTGGGGCTGAATTGCGGGGACAGAGGCCGAAGGGCGCGCCGCTTCGTGGGCGGCTCCCGGCGCCCCGACCAGGGGACGCGGCCCAGCCCCGGGCATCGGCGAGGCCTCAGGTGGGCGGCAGATGGTGCGGCCCGGCACAACAGGTGGGCGCATTGTGCGCGGATCCCAATTAACTTCGCCTCATTAGCAGCCGGAATCGCAGCCCCAGTGTAGGGATGGGATTACAGTTGGAGCCGGGGCCGCTCTGAGCTCCAATCATCTGGGCGTGCCTGCGAGCAGCAGGGCTGCCTTACTGACTGCGCCCTGGTAGCAGCCCCTCTCGCTCCTCGCTGGCAGCTGTAGGACTTTATTTGTTGGGGCTTCGGGGCTCTTTCCCCATTTCCCACCCAGGAGCAGTTTGCCCTCACACAGAGCAGCAGTGCCTGCCGAGGGCGCGCGGTGCTGTGCAGAGCTGCAGGACGGAGTGCTGTCTGCGTGCAGAGCCGCACTGGGTGCTGCGCTGGGACACGGTGCAGCTGGGAGCTCCTGCGTGGGACGTGCACGATGTGCCCGTGTTGGCCCCACTGGGGCTGTTGGGGCGAAGCCATTTTCAATCAGAAAATATTAATTGCTGAATTATTTTTGAATGCATTGTTAATGTCTCAGAACTGCATTTCAGTCCTTGCTGCCAACGTTTGTGGGGCTGATGCCCCAGTGATGCCAAATACCAGGGTGAGGAAATCAGGCTCGTTTGCTGCCAGTTCCTCATTGCTCACCCCCACGTTCACATTCCAGTTAAAGCATCCTCCTGCCCGGGTCCCACACCCCGTGTGCCCCCTGCAGCCCTGTCCCCAGCGAGCCCCGCTGCCCTCCTCATCCGCCCGGCTGCAGAGGCAGTGGTTGCTCCCTGCGAAGCAAACAGCCACTCACACACTGCAGGCAGCCCCTTCATTTTCCTGCTGCAGCTCCCTGCAGGGATCAGCGAGTATGAGAGGGATCCCCCTATGCCTCCCCTGCTCCAAGATGAGCACGCAGCTCCCAGCATCCCTCACCCCCACCTGGTGCTGGCAGCATGGCCCCAGGCTCAGCCCCGGTCCTAAGGGAAATGAGAGGGAACAGAACAAGCAGAAGAATGCAGCAGTGCGAGCTGCGTCCTGCCTGCCTCAGCCGGCAAAAATGTCCTGGGGGGCCCCCGGAGAGTCCTGGGGGTGTGAGCATCCACAGAGCTGCGCAGGCTGAATCCTTGCACTCTGAATCCCTTGTCACCTTCTTTCCTTTCTTTTCAGGCTGCCATGCATTGCCCAGGCAGCACCCGGGTCAGGCCGTGGGCTCTGATTTTCAATGTGCCAGTTGCACATTGGGTCTGTCCCAGCTGGGTGATGGGACAGCAGTACGCCTGGGAGCTGCTGCCCGTGTGGAGATGTTTATAGAGATACCTTTATATATATAATATAAATTATATATACATCGAATATTTACACAGTCATAGAATTATAGCGTGGCTTGGGTTGGAGCGGACCTTAAAGATAATCCAGTTTCAACTGCCAATAATTATATACGGTGTATAGCATTATGTTGTGAAGAAGAGGGAATACAAAAGAATGTAAATACATCGATCATACCGAATCCAGCTTCTCATTCTATGCATTATTTCTGATTCTCAGAGCAGACAGAGGAAGGCAGAGGAAGGCATGGGATGCTCTGCACAGTCATGTCAGATTCCAGCAATGGGCCGGGGCTGTGCTGCACTGCTCGGGACAGGGCTGGGGAGAACAGGAGCGGGGGATGAGACAGGAACATGGACAGGGGAGAACAGCAGCACAAGAAAACCGCGGGAGCTGAACGTGCACCAAGAGCCGCAGGCTTTGCTTGTGCCGCACCGGTCAGGCAGCCCATGCTGCTCATTAGCAGAGAGCCGGGGCAGCTCCTCTGCCTGTAATCACCCTAATGAGCAGTTGCCACGCTGTCTGCAGCAGAGTGATGCCGTGACCTGCTTTCAGGCCGTTTGATCTCGCCTGCCCGCGTTCCCCTGCCGGCTGCTGCTGCCTGCGCACCCCAGCACACGTGGTCTGAGCACGCCTGCTGCCAGCACGTTCAGCACGCCGAGGTCTTCTGCAGCCCCAGCATCATCCAGGGACACAGCACCACCGCGCTGCTCCATGAATGCACAGAGCCTGGCTGCAGGGTCGGCCTTGGAACGTGGGTCTGACAGTGGGGAAAATGTGCAAAGCACCCCAAAAGACTCAGGGAGCAACACCGAGCCAGAGAGCTGATCCAGCTGAAAAGCCATGGCATGGGCCGCAAAAATGAATGAATGAATTAAAAGGAGATGTGTTTGCTCTTTTGCAGCCAGCTGGGCCACAGATACATCTCCACAGGGTGTGGTGGCACAGAGCAGCACTGCTGGCAGCACTGCATGCGCTTCACTCATCGCAGCCTTTGCAGCGCCGCTGCTGTGCCCGCTCCCCCAGTCCTTCTGGGGGGAAAATGCTTTATTTCTTCTCTTTTCCTTTTTCCAGCAGAGCCCACTGAGAGCAGATGGATGCTGCAGAGGGGTTTGGTAAGGGCAGAGCTCAGGACCAACCGTCTGCCTCCCGAGGCTCTGGCGCTGCCTCTGTCAGCTGGAAATACCTGCTGTCCCACTGCTGGGAAGGAGCAGCACTCACCTTGCAAGTTGCTTGGGATTCAGGGGAAGAAGAAACAGGCAGGGCTCAATTAGCCTGAGTTAACTCAAATTCCATGGCTGCACGCTTTGCTTCACTTTTCTGTTGCACATCTCCTTGTGCAGAGCAGTGCTGTGCTTTTTTGCTTTCCAATGCACATGCCTTCTGAGGAAGCAGCGCTGTTGCTCACGTGTTTACAGCCCTCCTGTTAACGGCACTGCAGGGTTTCCCGCTCTGGAAAACCCACGCTGAAACGAGCAGGGTAAGCAGGAGTCCTGCAGGACGTCTGCCCACTGCTGCTGCCCCACTGCCAGCACTGCTCAGCTCCAGAACTGCTTCCCCTCAGGAGCCCACGCACCAGGAACGCTCAGTGCAAAGAGCTCAGCACAAAGCACACTGTGTTCTGGCTGCTGCTGCTGCTGCATTCCCTGCATCTAATTGCAGCCCTGAGCACCATGCTCTGAGTGCTATCTCCAGGCAGCACATTGGGAATCCACTGAGAACAGCTGCCAGAAAGCTGAGCAGAAAGTTGCTGAAGCTGCTTTGCAGTGTGCCATGACAAGGTGGAGCTTCTCTCACTGCTCCAAAGCCATGGCTGTACTTAATTCAGAAGCAAATGTCGCGTTCCATGTGCAAGAAGTCAGTGTGCTCTCAAAGAGCACCTGAGCAGCTGCCTCCCGGTGGGTCTGCTGCGTGCTCTAGCAGCGAGGTGGCACACACATCGGGAGAGAACCAGCACTGTGTGCTTCTTTAGTTAGAAATTAGGAAAAATACACCTGAGGAGTGGAGTGAGGACCTAAACCAACACCTCAAGCCTGCTATGTTTCCTCTTCTTGCTTAGTAAGCTGACAGCTGCTGGCAGCGCTCAGAAATCGCAGAGCTGTGTGTTGCAGGCATGCATAGAGCAGCCATTTCAGCCCCATGGAGCAACAGCAAAAAGCTCCCAACTGCTGGGGGTGATGCACAGCTGAGGAAGGGCTGCAGAGCAGAGCTGCCCTGCACACGTGTGCTCCTATGTGGGAGATCCATCGCTTCGAGGGAGGCTTCCCAGAGACCTCTGCCAAGCACCGCTGCTGTGGAGCACTGCACGCAGCCCCATGCTGTTTGGGTTCCACGAGCCGTGCATGCTCAGGAACTGGAAATAAATGACTTAAAATGATTTTCTGAAGCAATTGTTGAATTGTGGTCTAAGCGCTCAGGCTTAGGGCAAACATCAGAAATATCCTCACAATTACTGCTGTAATTACAGCAGCGTGTGCCAGGAGGGTCTGACGCGTATTTAGTGATATTTCAGCAAGAAATGTCAAATACGCGCCAGTGAAGTACGTTTTAATTCTCAGCACATTTATCATTTCCATTGGCTATCAGCAGGGCTAATGAGTACTGCAAATATTTGTGGCCCACTCGATATCGTCTTCTAAGGGTGTGTACGTGGTAATTATTTGAGTACGAGCCGTAATGGAAGTATTCCAGCTAGGAAGTATTCCGCCTTGGAGCTCGAGGTAACGGTGACTTCCACGGCACATCTCAGCCCCGCACGGCAGCGCTGAGGGGGATCGCGGCGGGATCACGGCTCCGCTTGGGCGCGCTGCTCTGAAGCACCGTGTAGCCGAGCACAAGCTGTCGCGGCCAGCTCGATTGATTCCTTAACTCGGATTTGTGGCTTGGAGCATTTTAAGGGCACGATGTTTCAGAGCGCCTGTGCGTTTACTCGGGTGGAGGTGGGTTTGTTTTCGCGCGCACTGCTCGCCGCGCTCCCGCCCAGCCCGGAGCCGCGCCGCCCGCCCACGCCGCAGCCATGGCGGCCCCCGCCCGCCCGCCCGCGGCCCCACACAATGGCGGCGCGGAGCATGCCGGGAGTTGTAGGTCGCCGCCCGCGCGCGCGGCGTTGGGCGCGGGCCGCCTCCAAGTCCCGGCGCGCCTCGCGCGGGGTGAGGTGCCCGGATGTGCCCGGCGCCGGAAGAGAAGCGGGTCTCTTCGCGGCCGGCCATCTTGTGCGGCAGCGAGCAGGGCGCGGGGGGGCCCGGCAGCATCGGAGCAGGATCCCGCCGACGGGGGCCCATCATGCCCGGACACCTGCAGGAGGGCTTCGGCTGCGTCGTCACCAACCGCTTCGACCAGCTCTTTGATGACGAGTCCGACCCCTTCGAGGTGCTGCGGGCGGCCGAGAGTCGGCGGAAAGAGAGCGGCGGCGGCGGCGGGGCCCAGGGGGGCGGCGGGGCCCGAGGAGGCCCGGCGGGGGCGCAGAGCAACTCCTCGGGCGGTGCCGGCGGCGGAGGGCCGGGCCAGGCGGGATCGGGCGGCGGAGCGGGCAGCGCGGCCAAGCAGCTGCGCAGGGAGTCCCAGAAGGAGCGCAAGAACCCGCTGCCGCCCTTCGCCGCGTCCGCCGGGGGAGAACGCCGGGAGGAGGGCGGCGGGCAGCCCGGAGCGCCGCTGCGGAAGGAGGGTGAGCGCCGGCGGGTTCCTCGGGAACGCACAAAGGCGGCGGCGGGAAGCGACGGGCCCGGCCGGGAGGGAGGGAGGGAGGGAGGGAGGGAAGCGGGCGGCGAAGAAGGGAGGGAGGAAGGGAGGGAAGGAGGGAGCGGCCCCCGGCCCGCGTCGCGCACGTGGCGGGAGCGGGGCCGCGTGGCGCGGGGGGGCGGCCACGGAGAGTCCCGCGGAACCGCACGTGGCCGCGGCCCCAAAATGGAGGAGCGCGTGGGGTGTCCCGGGTGTCCCCGTGGGTGGGTTTGGCGTAGGCGAGGGAAGGGGTCGGGGGTCCTTTGGTACTGCAGGAGCTGGTAAATTCGTGAGCGACTTCTGCACGGGCAGGTGGCGATGGGACGGGGGGGAATGGCTTTCGGCTCAAAGAGGGGAGATTTAGTTCTAGATGTAAGGGGGAAGTTCGTTCTCTGAAGGCAGTGAGGCCCTGGCACCGCTGACCAGAGCTGCTGTCCCAACCCTGGAGGTGCGTGAAGCCACCGATGGGTCCTGGACAGCCGGAGCTGTTGGGGGCACTCAGCCGTGGGGTGAGGGCCCTTCCAGCCCCGCCATGCTGGGATCCTGGGGTTCTGTGATGGAAGCAGCAGGAATTAGGAAAACCTGCACGTGAGCTCCGGACGGTCGGTGGGTGCAGGTGTGTGTCACGCTCTCAGCAGAAGTCACTCATTTTTGTGCAGCTGTGATAACTGAGTCGGTAGGAACAACGCATGCTTGGTTAATAACTTGCATCTTCCGTCATGTCTGTGCGACCCCGGAGCCAACTCACCGGGGCCTTCTGGCTGTTGAAAGTGCATACAGGCTGAACGAATAAGCTGTGACAGAGGGGTCGGTGTGACAGAGAGCTGTGTGACAAGCAGCAGCTTTGTGCACGCAGGTGGCCGTGCAGCACCCCGTGTGGGGGTTTGGGTTACACTGGGCTTTAAGAAAGAAGTTAATATATGATACTAGAAGGTGCTCCTGCCGAATAGCAAGAAAACACCAGGCAGCACCTGGGAGCTATTGCAGAGCTTTTTGCCTGTGGATGTTTTGTGTTTCCCAGTGTGATGCCAGGGATTATTTTCCTGAGGCAGAGTGTGGTACCTTGTCCTGAGTGGTGGTTCCTGGAGCTCGTATCCCCCATGGGTGTGGGTCAGCTGTGGGCTGGCAGTGGGAGCCCATGCAATGAGATGTGGCAGCGTGCTTGGCCAGCACACAGGGCCTGGGTCCGTGGGGGACAGCTTGGGAACAGTCCCCTCCCGGTTCTCGCGTTGACTTTCAAGAACGTGCAGTGCTTTGTTGTGACAAGGAGTCTTTTGTGGCTTATTATAGCAATGAAACAGACACCCCGGCCTGCTGTTGCAGCAGTGCTCTGCAAGGTGCAGTTGTTTGGTGTGTTACTGGTTGTGGGTTCTGCAGTATAATGCCGTGTGTTGTCAGTTTGGCTCCTGGGAGCCCCATGCTGAGCACAAGTTGCTACACTTGACATTGGATCGTGTGTTGCAGCCCTTCAGCGTGCCTCAGCATGGCATGGCCGGGTCTGCTGTGTCGCTGCAACCAAGTGGCTCTCCTGGGGGCGAGTAGGGGTTGAGGCTGCTGTGTTTCTGCAGGGAGCGAGCCTTACTGAGCAAGCAGTGTCTGTCATGCGAGCATGTGCTCTCAGCACAGCATGTCAGGTAAGGAGGCATTGTTAGTCTGGGTGTGTTGGCGTGGATATCATTACAGCTGTAACTTCTGGGCCCCACCCAGGTGCAGCACTGCTTGTTTGGCAGGAACTGCTGTCTTTGGGAATATTAAAAGCTGGCTTTTTCAAGTAGCAGCTTCGTTTTGGAGGCAGCCCTGGGGATGGTGGTTTGCTGAGGGTTTTGTTCCCTGTGTGTTTTGGGAAGATGGTGGCGTCACTGCACATGAAGGAGTTTGCACGGGTCTTCCTAAGAAGTAGTAAAGATGAATGGGAAGAAGTACTTAAGACCCTTCAGATGTCATAGTGGGGAAGACAGTACGGGGAGTGGTTCTTCTGGGCGATTTCAGAAGGTGTAGAAATGGAGGCAGGATCGCCGTCGGTTGCAGCAGCGCAGCTCTCGGGCTGTGCGCAGCTCACTGCTGGCTGAGCCTTTGTCCGCCAGCACGCGGGGCTGTGAGCAGCAGCACGTCGAGTCATCCCGAGGCACTGAGCTGTGCCTGCTGTGCTGCCTGGCTCGTGGGGTGTGGGTGCCATCGGGCTGGGGGTGGGCTTTGTGAACAGCACAACCCCAGGTGCTGAGTCTGATTAAATGCTTCCAGGCAGAGCGTGGTAGGATGAAACAGGGTGGCTGTCGTGGGGGCTTGGTTCTGGGGGAGCTGCTGGCCTTGTTTCGGTGCACATCAAATAGAAAGCACATGTTCTACCTGAAAAATGCCCTTTGGAGAAAGAACACAGAACTTGCTTATCTTGATCCTTCTTTGAAAGCCGATCGTTTGAACATGGATCTGCGGTGTTTGTGCGCTCTGACAGGTCTTGTTTCCCACAGCAGTGTAAGAGCACGTGCTTGGACAAAATGCAGCTTGATTGAAAGGCTGCATAAAAACGTCAATTAGAATCAAATGGTCTGCAGTGACCTTCTTATAAAGGTATTGTTTCTAAGATTGTGTGGTCACAAAGTTAGAAGAAAAGCCTGAATTCCAGCTCACGTTCATCTTTGTTTGACAGTGCTGCCAGCAGTATCTGTCCCGGAGCAGCTCTGCATTCCGTTGGTGTGTTTTGCTCCTGTTGCAGGGATAAGGCGCATTGGCAGGAGGCCTGATCAGCAGCAGCAGCAGCAGGGCGAAGGCAAACCCATTGACAGGAGACCTGAGAGACGACCTCCTCGTGAGCGCCGATTTGATAAACCTGTCGATGAGAAGGGCGAAGGAGGAGAATTCTCTGTTGATAAGTAAGAATGTGCCTTGCGTGATGCGGAATGTGGTGACACCCTGGAGTGGAGCTGTCCTTTCTTCTGCTCCTAAGCTTAAAAGCCAAGCAGAGACTCACCTGTGTCAGCATAGAGTACTTTCCCGTTGTGTGATTTCGTTTACAAACGTGGCTCAAGTTTTTACCAGGAATCACACAATGTGAGCAGTTTGTTAGTTTGACGAAAAGCGTGGTGTAAATCAGGAAGATCCTGGGTGTATTTTTGAGCATCCACAACACAGAGGTCAGAAGAGGAACTGAAGTGTAGCTCTTGCCTGCAGGATGAGATCCGTTTGCTGTTACAGCTGTTGCTTCACTTGTACAGTTAACCTCAAGCCAGTGAGGGTTTGTCCATGGAGGTGTTTGTGCTTCCTTGGCTCCAGTGGCTTCAGATGTGGAAGTAATGAAGCCAGCTCGTGGCTAAAGGGAACCAAGTGTCACATTGGGGAGAGAATTCAAGAGTTTTGGAAACAATCTTCAAATGTTAGCGTTTTAATGGTCAGTGTTGAAATACTTTTAAAAGTAAGGCAGCTGAATGTGAGATTGTAGCATCAGCAAGTGACATAATGCAGCAGAAAGGCTGAATTTGGGAATGGTGGGCAGGAGATGCAAACAAAGCATTTGTTCAGTTCCTGAAATCTGGAGAGAGCAGCATTACGTATGGTTTTGCTCCAGTCCTATAGTTCAGCATTGAAATTAGACTGCAAATAGTTAGAATTAGTTCAGTTGGAAGGGAGAGACCGGCAGAGATCCTGGAATCCAGGTGTGTGGCTGCAGGGCTAGCCAAAAACAGAACTTTAACTGGGGCGTTGTTCTGGTGCTCGTGGAGTGCTGAGAGGAGTGGGTGCTAAGCACCTTGCTCAGAAGCCTGTGCCAGTGTTTGGCCTCCCTTGTGGTCAAGATAATGAGAGGAAAAGCGAGCCACGCTCATGATAAGAAAAACTTGAAAGCTGTGTTGAAAGCTTGGGGGCCTGAATACTGAAGTGTGACCTTTTCTTGTAGACCCATCCTGGACCGACCGATGCGTGGACGTGGTGGACTTGGAAGAGGCCGTGGCCGTGGCCGTGGGATGGGCAGAGGAGATGGGTTTGACTCTCGTGGCAAACGTGAATTTGACAGACATAGTGGCAGCGATAGATCGTAAGTCTTTAGCTTTTCCTAGAGCTTCCTCAGCTATTCTTTACTATTAATATATGGCTCAAAATGTCTTTGAATTTCTGTATCTGGACACTATAATGTTAACTCAGTTTTGTTAGTTCTGTTTCACATTCGCATTTCAGCGGCCTGAAGCACGAGGACAAGCGAGGTGGCAGTGGATCGCACAACTGGGGAACCGTCAAAGACGAACTCACGTTAGTAATCACTGATTGCTCAGATCTACCAGTGTGAAATCCTAGCTCTCACAGAGTAGAGATTTGGTGGCTTTTTCTCCTTTAAATTTTGGGGACTTGTGGTATGCTGTGAAAGAAGCCAATGACTTCAGAACGTAGTGAATTACAGATAGATGAGATGGCTTCCATTTCTAAAACTAGAATTGTGGGGAAGTTTAAAACGGGGAACTGTTTTCTGCTGTTCTTTGAACAATCCTTATTTTACTAAAAATTAAACAGGTTTAACGTTGATCAAACTAAGCAGGCTTTTTTCCCAAATATCACATTGAATGCAGCATTTTTAATATCCAGATGTGTTTTGTCTCAAGCTTTGCTGGGAGACATTCAGAATGGATGTGACTCAGTGTTGGGAAGAAGGAAAGCTCAGTTTTAAAAGGCAGGGGGAGCACCAATTCTTAGTGAAGTAGTTCTTTTTAAAGAACAGTACGCTGTGTAAACGTGCTATAGAACTTAGGCATTCATCTTGCATAGTTTTAAATAGGCATGAACTTAAACAGCAAAACAAACAAAACCCAACTGTAATTACAGCGAATTGGATCAGTCTGCTGTAACTGAGGAAACGCCAGAGGGAGAGGAACATCCGCCTGCTGATTCTGAAAACAAGTGAGTGTGTCCCCTTCTGTCGAGTTCTCTGGTTGCCTCAAAGGTGTCACTGCTTTGCTTTTACTCCCTGACAGTTTTTCTACTTCTGTTTTGCCATATTCACTTTGTATGTCCTTCAGTGGATACCAAATCAGTGACGATGCTGCTGAAGGGCTCTTTAAAGATAACTTCTAGATGTCAGGTTTGAAGCTATTAGTTAGTGTATTGCAAGCTCTTAGGTCGCTTTCACGTTTAGTTATTACTAACATGGTGTAGTGTGTGTAATCTCAGGATTACAACTGTAAGTACCAAATCCAAAAGCAACCACGCTCGTAACTACCCAGAACAACCAGGGGACGGAATGTTCTGCCAATGGGAGGCACTTAGTTTCTCAGAACTGCTGAGGCTGTGTGGCTGGCCTGCAGAAGAAAGGTTGTCTCTCACTCTTTCCACTTTTGTGCATGTGTGCAGTTCTCAAAGAAGTTAGCCCCATTGCTTCTATTTTCTCTGGGACGCTGGTAAGGGGAAATAAAGCAACTAGTCAGTGAGTGGAAGAATTCCCACAGCTGTTACTTGGAGTTGATTTGGAGGGATGCAGGTTTTATGAAAATGCGGTATCTTAATGAGTGCATGTTCTCTGATGGAATCAAAAGAAAATGGCAAACAGTAGAAAGCATCTCTTTAAAATGCTCGTTTGCCAAAGATTTCTAATGTGGAATCCTCTGTGGCTCCATTTTCTCACTAGTAGCTTTGGTTACAGGTGAAACAGTGACTGAGTGGAGAGTAAGGCAGGGATGTGCTTTAACTGCTTGCTAAGTGCCATCACTCCTGCAAGGTTGTAGATGCCTGTGGTTAAGGTTGCCTTGTGAACAGAAAGAGCCTGAGCAGTTTTAAGGAATTAGAGCTGTAGCAGTGGTCAGAAAATGCACATAGCTCCTGTTGGAGGGGAAAAAAGAGTAGTGCAGATCTCTGTGCCCACATCAGGGGTGTTGGAACTGGGTCTTCTTCAGAGTCTGTTTCAACCCATGCCACTGTATGACTATGAGATTTTGTGGTGTGCAGTATTTCCTGGCTCTTTATTAGAAGTGGTGCCTGCTGCTTGACCAGGTCACTGATCTGCACAAGGGTGGGTCAGTATCTGCAGCATTCTGCAGGCTGTCTGTGTGGGTGGTTTTCTTCTGGAAGTCTTCAGAAGATGTATTCTGCTTTGAATATACCACTCTTGTTGCAGTCCATCAGTCATCTTTCCAGGGAAGCATCCTTACATGTCTTTGCTTCCAAGTTGGCTGTTTGGATCTCCAAATGTTTCAGTGGAGCTGTAGGATGCTTTACAGAATAAGGAGAATGCCAGGGGGCAGTGGCTTTGCAGTGAGCAGTAAGCATGGCTCTGCAGCTATCACAAAGTCATTTTCTCCTACGTTGAGTAAAATGAAATACACCGATTTTGACATAAACCTTCTGCATTATTACATCAACTGGTGTCTGCAGGAAAGACCTTTTCTTTTGAGTTGATGCATTCACGATGTTTTTGCTGCACATACGTGGCACTGCTTTTTTATAATGTCAGAGTAGCTCATAAATCAAATAGAGTTGCATAAACACACCAAAGAATGGCTGGAGGATTGACTGCCTGAGTAGCTGGAACATGATCTGTTACTGAACATAGTGGTTGTGTATTTTACTTAAAAATAGCTCTCTGGCAGAAGCTGGGGTGCCAGGACTTTACAATAGGTGATGCATCTACCAAGGAACTGCATTTTTATGCAGTTGTTTTTTCAAGTAGGCCAGAAGTAGAAATTGTTTGGTTACCTGGTATGCTAATAGCTGCTTTTAATCAAGTAGAAGAAGCAGGCTGTGCAAATCAACAACAGAATCTTGAGGATTACGGTAAGGGTGAGTGCCATCTCACTGCCCAGCTGGGCACACAGGGAGGCAGGTCTCTTGGAGGAGGGGAGAACAGCTCCAAACAGGTCTCATGGAAGAGTAGGCTTTTATATTTGCAAGGACAATTGCCATGACTAGTGAGAACAGGCAGCAAGGATCAGTGTTAATTTTAAAACATTGCTGTGGTCGCCATTTATGTTTTAAAAAGTGTCTGGCTGTGATTTTTAGCAGTTTTCATTTAACTAAAGGAGATAAATTTTCGTGTGTGCTTGTTGAGTGTTGGAATTGAGTTTTTAATACGTAAATCTGAAACAAAATAATAGTATTGCAGTGTGTGTGTGTGTGTGTGTGTGTGTATATTATGTTTATTATAATCTGGTGCTGATTAGAGCTGCTTTTGAATTCACTGTGTATAGGGGATGGGTTCTAAGCCATGATCGTAAGTAATATCCATGAATTTACTACAGGGAAAATGAGGTTGAAGAAGTTAAGGAGGAAGGTCCTAAGGAAATGACCCTGGACGAATGGAAAGCTATTCAAAGTAAGGATCGTGCAAAGGTTGAGTTCAACATCCGTAAACCAAATGAGGGTGCTGATGGGCAATGGAAAAAAGGATTTGTTCTTCACAAGTCAAAGAGCGAGGAGGTAAAGTGATTTTTGATATTTGCTAGTGTCCAGATTGTATAGGTTTTTCTAATGATATGCACTTCTTGGAGTGTGAGCTCTGTTCTTTGGCAAGCTGACCTTTCTGTCCAAGTTCATAAAGCCAGAACAACTTCTCTTACAGAAAACTGCAGCTGTACAGTAGTGTCAGTTGCTGTTCTTCCTGCGGTTAGTTTTCTTACGCTGACATGTGCTGTGTTGTAACCTGACCATGGAGAGAGAAGACTGGAATACTGCAGCTGGGCAGGGAGCTTTAAGGATTGTCTCTTGGTGGGAACCTGAACGTATTTTCCATGTTTTTTAAAGTAGGAGTTACTGTATCACTGTGCTGGTTTTGCTAAATTCTGTGTAGAACTGAAAAAAGGTGGGTTATGCCTACACCTGGTCGGAAGTTGCAACCTGGTAACTTGTAATTCTGTAGAGTTACCCATCCAATGCCTCTGATGTTTTTCAGAAAGCAGGTGAATTGAGCTTGTATGTGTCCACACAGTTCCCTAGAATCACTTGAAAATTGTAATTTCTCAAATACTTTGTAATAACACCAACTTCTTTTAAAGGGGTGAGTGTGGCAGAGAGAAACACATTGTCCCACTTTAGGGAGGAGAACAGTGCAGAGAGCTTTGTTACCTAAGGCTGGGCACTAGCACCTGGATTCAGTTTCAGAAACTGACTGGACCATTAAATCTTTGGTTTTAACACTGTTAATCAGAGGCCTTCAGCCCTGTGCAGCAGATGGTTCTGACTCCTTTTGAAGTGCAGTAGTGTGCAATGTGCTGTTTGATCTCTGATGTGTGTTCCTGCTTTTCACACCTTGTCCTTTTATCTCTTGTGAGATGGGAGGTGCTGTACAGCTGGGGAGCACTGCTCATCCCTTACCATGAGAGCTCCATTTCTAATCCACTGAGCTTGGAATGAGTTTAAGACACAATATCTTTATTTTTCTGCTGTGTGAAGTAGATTTGTGCTTTTTATTTTCCTTAAGCTGCTCAGTGTTTGAAATTTTCTACTCTGCTACTTTCCCTAGCTTGCATAGGAAACAGAACTGAAGTTAGACTAAGAATTGCTTAGAGGAGTAATGTTGAAGAGATGTACCAAGCAAGATATGTAGATGTAACACACCTGTAGTCGTTGAGCATGTCTGGACATCTTCCTCCCCACTCCAACCTCCACGGAGCAAGGATACGTGACTGGGTGTCAGTGGCAGATGGAATATTTCTTCCCCAGAGATATCTGAACGTATGGTTGTGTTCCTGAGTAATTAAGAAGCTGGAAAGCTCTTTGTTCTTATTTTCCTTCTGAAAAGTGAAGCAGTAGTTTATTCTACTTTCTAAACTTCTTTCTTACATCAGAATTCTCTCATGGAACTGCTGACGTGAGCGGATTGCTCTTTCTGAGCTGTGTTTAGCTGATTGCTCTTGAAGTAAACAAATCAGATACTTCTGAGGTAACCATTCCCTGCTGTATGAGCACAGAAGGGAGATATGAACAAAACTGCTGTTAACAGACTCTTCTAAACTTGTCCAGCAAATGTCTCGTTTGTTTTTTCATCGTGCGCTGGTCTCTTGAGCAAGTGCTTTTCTTTTCCTAAGTTTTACAGCAGAACTGTTCCTAAAACACAGGTGTTGGGCAAGCTTTCTCTGCAGTTCCTTTGTGAACAGGTAGAGAAGGTAGAATAACTAGGAGTTGTGAGCAGAGCTGCTCACCACCTGCTGTTCTCTCTGTTGTCTTGGACATTCTTCTGAGTCACGAGGCTGGTGGAAGGTTTCTGTGCTGGGTAATGAGAGTGGTGGTGTGTGGAAGTGACTTGGTTATAGGTAAATTCTGGGTTTCAGACCCACATCTTCCTAACCCTTAGGGCTGAATAATGACAATGTGCATGTGCAGATTTTTCTGAGAAGTTAAAGTGTCACAAGGGCCACCTTCTCAGAACTCCTGGGGGTGTCTTAGGAACCTTTGGTAAAGGAGGAGTGTGAGGACCCAGTGCTGCTCATCTGCCCTATCTCCTTCACAAGGCTCTCCTCCTCCTCGTGTTCTTCACAGAAGACTGAAGTGCTTGGCTGTATCTCTTTCCCAGGTCTTTCCCATCTGTCCCATGTGCTGTACAACGAACTCTTCATACTGTCTCGGATTCTTGCTGGTTTAATATGAAATCCATGTGTATTGGCAGCCCTCATCTGATGGGAATCTTTCCAGAAGGCTGGGTTATGCCAAAAGAGATCCTTTTCCTTCCCTGCAACTGACTTTGTGATTGGGTACTTCAAGTCCTGCTGAACACATAATGGGAAGTTGAGTTGTGAAGAAATCTTAAGACTTGTTCCAGTTGTTCAGAGCAGCTCCGGGAGAGTTTCATCCACCAGTGAATGAGTTCCTGCTCATCATATCTGTTGTGCTGTGCCTCTTCCTTGTGCCTTTAAACTTTTCTTGCTCTCTCATCACTTTCTTAGAGAGGAGATCACAATGGAAGACTGAGAAGCAAGTATTGGAACACAGTCAATCATCTTTACAAAGTGTGTAGGAATCACTCGAATCCAGACTCTGCAGAAACTCTTTTCATTGAGAGTAATTACTTGAAACCACCCTCAAGCTGTGCCATCTATCTGTACAGGTCTGTGTGCTCAGTACAGTGAGATGCAGATCAGTCTGCATGTGGAGTTCCCAGCAGCTCATATTAAACGACTTCTTTCTTCCAATCCTTTCTCTTTGCCTCCTGGGATAAATCCATCCTCTGCTCCTTCTGGATGCTTGCACGACTTCTGCTCCCATCCTTTTGCTGCTTCGTGTGCTCAGTGCCATCTGTATCCAGCAAGTTCATGTGACCTTATTACGTGTTGTTTCTATATGTAGTTGAGTCTCATTTCTTCCTTTTGTTTTCTCCCCTTGTTCCCTTTGTCACTTTGGTGTGGACACGCAACTTTCATCAGACAAAGGCGATGACAGAAATGCAGGGGAGTCTGCTGGAGTCAAATGAGGTACTGATCCTTTCTATCTAACTGGTGATACATGTTTTTGACCTGAGCCCCTTCTGAAATGAAGGGCTTTGACATAAAGGAACAACAAACGCAGAGAATACGGAGCTTTTCTGTCTGTGCCTGTTGTCTCACTGCACAGTGTAGGGCCCTCTATAATTAGTGCCTTTTCTCCTTCTTGATCATCCCATAAACACTTCCATCATGAGTCTCTTATTTTCTGTTGCTGTTTTTCTGCATCTTGCTGTCTGCTTTGGCTCACTTCCCGTTAGTGACTTGTTCTTAAAGCTTTGGACAGCCTTTCCCAAGATCCACAAGTGTAGCAGTGCCTTCAAGCAGCTATCTTAGATCAGAGCGCTCTCAAGAGTTGCCAGTACATACAAATGAAGTGCTTCCAAAGATGATTCGGAGCCGACAATCTGTGTGCTATGTCTTCTACCACAGGAGGAGAATGTGCCAAGTCTTCTATTGGTGTTTTAAATTAGCTAGAGTTATTTTGGGTAAAGAAATCCTCAGGTTATGCACAGAACTTGCTACTTGCTGGCTTTAGTGGTTCAGTTGGGAAAAATGCAGTATTTTGGTAGACTGTAGAGTTTCTTTTTTAAGCAGTAGCAGCGCAGGGAAGCAGATGCACAGAACTGCTTCTGCCTCTTGGAAGAGAGTCTCTTGGCTGCCAGAAAGTTGGAAACATCTCTGTACTCTGCAATGATTGAAACAGTAGGTGAAACACCATCAGTAGGAAAGGAATCTAAACCATAACGGGAGGCGCTGCTTCCTATTGGAATCACTGGTGTACTTCTGCTTTAGTATTGTCGTTCTGCTTGTGCTGTCAGCTAGAGACCTGGAATGACTCTTGTCCAAAAATATCTGCTGAAGCCACCTTCAGGAACACATAGAAGAGATCTGAGGGATGAGAGAGCTTCAGATCAGTAAACCAGAAGTCTCTTAGGGAGCAGCTGCTGCACGGAACACATCCCAGTGAAACACGTTTGGAGTAAACCAGCATGGGGCAATACTTCTCAGTGTGCCTAATTAAGCTGTGGGTGCTGTGGAGGCCACACGTCCAGCTGGGCCTGGAAGGGGTCATTAGGGTGGGGGGAGCACTCTTGGTGGCTCTGTGCATTCTGGTGCTTGTGATTGACTCGAGGCATCCCCAGAAGCAACTTTCTGCCCTTTGACTTCAGCCCTCTTTGTATCCATTGGCTGCTCTGTGAAGGATGCACAACAGATAATTAGGAGGTGTTGCACTTAATTGCACAGTATGGTGCCTTTGAAAGTCAGAAAGTCAGTATATTGTGCAACTACACCACAAGAAAAGTAACTTACGGTCAGAATGCCTAAGCTTGCATGTGGCTCCTACACGTAGGGAAGAAAGCAAACAGTTGCTCAGCCAGAATTGGGGTGTTAGAGAGTCATGGATGGTCATGTTTCCAAAGTACCATGGTTGGGCTTTTTAAGAGACAGCACTGGTCTGATCCACTGTGGTCAATTCTACATTCTGCACATCATCGTAGGTGCCTAAAATGGGTTGCTTAAGTAGAAAATTAATTATGCTGAGTAGGGGAAACAAAAACATCTGTTGCTTGTTATGTTTGGTGTATAATGACTTGAAATACTTGGTCTGTTCTGCACAGTAGGATGCAGGGCGTTAAGTCTTGAGATTTCTCACTGAATGCACCAGCAAGCTGTGAGAGATTGTTTTGTCATGGCAGTGCTGGTAGAAGTCGTTCCTCAGTGGAATTTGTGAGGTGGGTTCTCTTTTAGCCTGAATTGTGTTAGTTACCTTAGTTACATTCTGACTGAACTGTGCTTGTGCCTCTTCCACTGTTTGCTATGGCTGAATACCAAGGTGGGATTCTTTTGGTTTCCAGTGCTTGAAGTGCTTAACACGAAATGAAGCAAACGAGGACATGCAAAGCACTCATGGAGCAAAATAAAGATGACTTCTTGAGTGCATTTTGCACAAGACTTGAATGAATGAATGAATGAATAGAACTTTAAGGTTCCTCAGGTATGAAACGAGAGGAAGTGAAACGCTGGAAAGCGAAGTTCTGTATTGGAATGGTTGGGGCCCAGGTAAGCTTAGACTTGTTCATGGGACACAACGCCAGAGCTTCTCAGAATTGTCTGGGGGATACACAATAAGTTCCAGTGCCTGAACGAAGTTAAGATGCCAGCAGTCAGTGTTTGCTCTCTGCGTGGTGTCTGCAGAAGTGGTGCAGTTGATTCACTGCGGTTCCTGCTGTATCTCACGCTCAGGTGTGCGTTTGGAGGTGAGCTCAGGAGCTGCGTTACTGAGAGTGCAACTGCAGATGAGAACGCTTCCGTGCTCATCTGATTACTTAGGAAAAAATGGTTTGTTTCAGGCCCACGCTGAGGACTCGGTAATGGATCATCACTTCCGTAAGCCTGCCAACGACATCACATCCCAGCTGGAGATCAACTTTGGAGACCTCGGCCGCCCCGGACGCGGTGGTCGAGGGGGCCGGGGTGGCCGAGGACGTGGAGGCAGGGCCAGCCGTGGGGGCAGGACTGACAAGGTGAGCGGGTCTGACAAGGTGAGCAGCCGGAGCTGTCGGCTGTGAGGCAGCCGGGCTTGTGGCACTCCAACTTTCCCTTCCGTACACTCATGTTCTGGGGGGAGTTGTTCATTTAAAGCCAAGTGGAAGGTCTGTTCTTGCAGGTTTGCTTTAAAACTAGGGTATTGTTAGGACAAAGGGATTGAGTGTTCAGCAGTGTTCTAACTAGGCACTAAACCAGAGGTGAGGAGTGGGTTACTATTGGAACATAAAACCAAAGCAACAAAAAACAGTTCTTTTCAGCTGTACTTAAGCCTGAAAAATGACTCCTTGGACAGATCTGAATGTACTGTCAGTCTCCAAGGACAGAATATCTGCCCTGTTACCTCTGGGAGGGAATGAAAACGAGTTTGTGGCTGCGTGGTGCCTCTTCAGTTTGAGGGATTTGGGGGGATTCATATGGAAATAAAACATGATTTTTTCTTAGTGTGCAGGAATTATTTTTCCACCGGTAGCACTGAAGCCCTAAGGAAATAATTGGCAAAAGCACTGCCTGGGGCAGAGGTGTGAAGCTGACACACAGTTGTGTAGCCGTAGCAAAGTTTGACTTAATACAGGTCACTTTTTTGCCTTAAACATACCCAGATTGCTAGCAGAGGAGTTTGGGCTGTGGTGTGACTTCTTGTCGTGTAAACTGGTCTGGCTCGTTCTTCCCTTTGTGGGATGCCGACTTTCTCTTTTCACTGCATCTTTTTAAATGCTTAGGTTTATTAGCTGGAAAATTATTTCCTGGCAGCAATGTAAGAAAAATGATAAGGAATTGATATAAAAATTATGGTGGATTTTGCTCTGAGTCGCTTCACTAATAGGACGTCTAGAAGAATGCTGCCAAGAGGTGGGGAAGTACCTTGAAATCTGCAGCTTGTTTGATGCTGACTTTCTGTTTCCTTCCAGTTGGTTAAGGAGTTTGATGTGATCCACACGCCCAACCAGGTGGGTGATCTTTGCAGCCTCTGCCTTCCCCAGAGTGGGCAGCTCCCCTCCCGTCCTGCCTGCCCTCCTGCTTTGTGCTTCAGTACCTGCAGATGTGTTGGCTGAATGCAGAAGGCCCTGTTATTATTTCTTAACTCTAGTTTGTGGCACGGGCAGTTCTGCAGTGTCTGTCTTACCTGCAGATGTTGCTGCAGCTCTTATTGGAATGGTTTATGTTTCACTTCCTCCTTGATACATGTAGATGCTTGCAGGAACTTCCACAGTTCCTGTCTGGAGATGCTTTCTACTCTTTTTCCCCACCACATTTCTCATGCAGAAAGTGAAGGCTACTCCAAAGTCCCTTCTTTTTGGATTTCATTGCAGTGCTTTTTTAGGCACAGTGGAGAGCTTTTGGGGGGAAAAATACTCTGTGAGGACTGAAGAGGCTTTTTGCTGATGTGTCTGACTTAGGCATAGATTGGCACGATGTCTTGTCTTTATTTTTTATTAACAAACCATTTGTGAACAGGGGAGGTTAAAGGAAGGTTGAGCTGTGCTCTGAACCAGTAACAGCGTTCTGTAGTGCTTCGGTCATTCCCTTGTGGAGAGCTGGTGGCTGTGTGTTGCTGCAACAGCAGCAGCCACGTGGAGTGCACTCTGATTAAGAATGGAAAGAAGCTGTAAGCCACTGCTCTAGGTGTGTGCAGCTCTGGTGTGCTTAATGCCTCTGGTGCCTCCAAAGGTGGTGTTACTGTAAGAAGTCATTGAGGAAGCTGCCTAGACCCCGGGGCAAGGGGGCCCAACCAAAACTTACTGCCCGTCATGGGGGAAGATGAGCAGTTGCTTCTGTAGTAATACTTCTTCCAGTACTGAACTGCTGAAGACTGCTGAGCTTCTTGCCTCTTTGAAACTCAGAGCTCTGTGGGGTAGAACGTACCAAGTAGGGTTCAGCACAGCTTATAGAAAGAAAGAAGGTGGGAGTCCCACTGTGCCCTGCTGCTGAGGTGACACCCAGGTTCCCTGTGCAGGGCTTGGCCTTGCCCTGTGCCCATGGTGCCACGGCACAGCTGTGTCATGTGCCTGATGATGGATGGGGTGGGAATGGGAGGGATGGGAACGGGGGGGCTGGGTGCTGCTGGAGGTGATAACTTTCTGATGTTTCTCTTTCAGTCAAGTGCTTCTGCTCCTGATGTAGATGACCCAGAGGCTTTCCCAGCTCTGTCCTAAACTGGATGTCATAAGCCAACCCTGCCCTCGTCGGGCCTTCCTCTCCGAGGCTTGCATGCTTAAGGATCCTAAACAACTAAGAAATTTAAAAAAAGAAAAAAAAAAAAAAAAAAAAGAGGAGACTGTCATTCATACCATTCACACCTAAAGACTGAATTTTATCTGTTTCGAAAATGAACTTCTCTCGCTACACAGAAGCAACAATATGGTAGTCAGTTTTGTATTTAGAAATGTAATGGTAGCAGGGATGTTTTCATAATTTTTTCAGAGATTATGCATTCTTCATGGATACTTTTTTGTATTGCTGCTTGAAAATATGCGTTTCCAAACTTGAAATATAGGTGTGAACAGTGTGTACCAGTTAAAAGCTTTCACTTCATTTGTGTTTTTTTTTTGTTTTGTTTTGTTTTTTTAATTCAGGATTTTAGAGATTTTCCCCTAACTGCGAGCTGGATTTGAATCCTTGCACACTACTTGTGTTCCCTTAGCTCCTGCTTAGCAGGTTTTTATTGACCCGTGCTCTTCTGGGATATGTGGCATTTTAATTTGGCAGACTGAGCGCTGTCTGAAATACCAACTCCTGGAGTTACTTTGGTTTTAGTGCTTAATTTCAAACTTGGAAAAACAGTCATTTTCCATCTGCTTGGTAGTTCGTTTACACAAAAGCTTTATACAGAATTGTTACCAGATACTTGAAAAATACTCAAAGCACATTGGGTTCTGGTTCCGTAGCCGTGTATCCAGCAGGGATACGTGGATCTTTGGTCTGAACAGGTTTTAAAATTAGTGTGACACTTTTCATTCACCCTTCTTACCTTTTTATTCCCTCCTTCAACAGAACAAGAAGCTTTGTTGGCAAAAAGGAAGAAAGAAAAAAAAAAAAAGCTTTTAAATCACCTCTGTTTCTCCCGTGGGAGGGTGCCCTGAAGCTGAGCCACCTCTCCTCCTGTGCAGAGCTGGGGGGGGAGGTGGCAGCTGCAGCTCTGGTGCTCCTCCAGGGCTGTGGCACGGTGCCCCAGGACAGCGGGATCCCATGTGCTCACAGCACGCACCCACAGCCCTGCTGAAGAGGGAGGAACGGGGCACTGCAGTCTGTGTGTGATGCAGAAAGGTGCAGAGCAGAACCCCAGCGCTTCACCTTTAGTCTAAACCTTGTCCTGCATCTGCGTGCTGCTTGAGGTTGGACTGCTGGTTGACAAATGAATGTTTTCCAGGGAGCGATTGTAAGAAATCCTTCATACCCCTGTAGTCACTTGTAGGTTTAATTTAACCCCTGCCAGTGGGGACCTCACCACTTCAGCACCCAAAAGCAGTTCAGAGAATGACGAATAAGGAGGGTTTCGTAGGGTTTTTATCTGCAGCATTTAGTAGGAGACTAGAAGCAGGATTCTCATTTTATTTAATGTTTTACACTTTGGACAGCTTAAAACATTTGTAGTTTCTTAACTAGGTAGATAGAAAACAAATGGTAATGCCCTATTTTTTTAAAAGCTGTACAGGACAGGCAAAAAGAATGGGAGACCTTTGACTATGTAACCCCGAACTCCTTAACCATGGCGTTGGCTGGCTTGATTTCCCTCAACTATTTTCTACAGATGTGTTTGTTGTAAACCACTGTTAATACCATCAGATCAGACTTGCTAGTGTTCTCACCTGCCACTTGGAAGCACCGGGCTGGGAGGAGGAGGCGAGTTTTCAGCTGGTGGATGGCGATGGCTCTTGGTTCGTTTCCCCCGACTGAGCAGGCAGGCAGGTGCTCGGTGCAGGGGCTGCAATCCTTCCAGCACTGGGTGTTTCTCTTCCGTCTCCCGCTGTGAGTTGGTAGAATGTGCTGCAGTTTCAGTTTTGGGACGCCTCGAGTAATACAACTAATTGCCTTGACGTGCAGAAACGCTTACAGAAAAGCTTTCTCTGTAACATAAGCCTTCCCCATCTCCAGACTGTGTATCTGCTGTTTCAGTTGTCACTCTGCTTTTTTCCAGATGCCTTCTGGGCTGTCCAGTTGGTCATTTGGGGCCAGGCTGGCCGGAAGCTTTCCCTTCTGCTTTAGAGAATAGAGCAGCTCCTGGAACAGCACGTCACGTGCGGTGCTCGAGACAGCTTGTACTTAACATTGGTCTGTCTGCTATTCTGATAGATGTAAATTTGCCTCTTGCAGTCCATTCGTGTCAAGAACTAAAACTGTGAACATATATCTTTAATATTGGTGGGTGTTAACTGAAATAAAGGTTTATTTTCATGCTCTTTTAAAAATGTCATGAGAACCCGTGGAGATGAAACCACTGAGATTAGTGTCTCATCTAGGTTCTGCCCCAGGTGGTCCAGATCTTCCTATGGTGATGGTGCCACTTCCATTGCTGGGATCAGACTTTGCTTTGGGAAAACATCTCCCTCTGAGTTGAGCAGCTCATTTCTGATGAGTGAGCTTGCTCTGTAGTGACTAATATCTGACTTCTATCCTCTTGCTTGCCGCTTTTGCTGTCACACCAAATCCAGAGGACTAAACCTGTTGAAATCTGAGCAGTTTCTCAACAGGTGGCCAGCAGAAAAAGCTGGAGAGGGAGAAAAGCACGTGGTGCAAATTGGCTTGTGAATGTAACGATGGCGAGGTTTGAGCATGAAAGTTCATCTTACGGATCGATGCTGGGAGGAAGGGAGACTGATCAATAAATGCAAGTGTTAGCTGTGTGGGAACGGGCAATTTTGGAGGAAAATGAAACATCAGAACGTGTGAATATACGGTGGTGTCTGCAGTGGGAAGAGCTGAGACCACTCTGAACTGTAACGGTTTTGCCCATTGAGATTGGTTTGCGTAGCTTCACCTCTTGTTTTAATAAATGCAGGACGTATGCCTGAAGCTGACACTTGCAGCATTTGCTAACCTGCTTCTTTTCTACTGTCCTCGGGAGGACCTTGTTGCCTTTGTTTCATGAGCCCATGCTCTGCTCTGCTAGGCCTTCCGTACACTCAAGCTGGGGCTGAGTGCCCTAGGACATTGGCGTATCGCGTTTGGGGCTGCAAAAGCCCATCGTGCTGCTTTGCTGGGGAGCTTGAAGCTGATGGGGAAAGCTGATGGTGTGTGGCCTCACCTGAGGAGGCTGCAGGGGGGGGCAGCTCAGGCTCAGTCCCTGCTGCTGGTAAATGCTTGTCTCCAACTGGACTAAGTCTTCCCAGTGAGCCCCATGTCGAGTTATCTACTTTAAGAAGGAAGAAAATGAATCCTGGTGTTCAGTTTGTGATTGATAAATGTGAGAATCAGCTGGCTGTGTCTGAGGGTGCAGATGAGGTGAGTGATAAAATAGTGGCTTTTAAAAACAGCTTCTTTTGGTTCTGGTTGTCTGTTGTGCTTTTGTGCAACTGTCTGGAGGTAGCAGTCTGCTGCGATGGGCACCCGAGTGTGTTTGCAAGGGTTGCTGCCAATGGAGTGTGGAGAGCGTGGCAGTGCTGCTCTGGTGCTGAGGAGGTGTGACCCAAGGACTAGCAGTGTGCTCCTGGCTGGCACACAGGCAGCCTTCCCAGGTGGGAGATATGTGGGCACCAGGCTGGGGATCAGGACTTGGAATGAGCTGCCGGACCCCAGAAGTGTGATTGTGGAGTTGGTAACGTGCAAACAAAAAGGTAAAACCCTGCGTGCTTCCCAGGTGAGCAGCATTGTGCAGAGCTGGGCAGCTGTGCTTTGTTGCCTTGGTGGAGGCCTTTCTGCGTGTGGTTTCCTTGCCCACCTTGCTTGTTATCTTCACAGTAAAATACCTGATAGCGAAGAACGAGGAGGATGTGGAGCACCAAAGCTGTTCTCCCTTTCTGCTGAGCTTTTGCTGATAAAGCTGCCTCCTGCTCGGTGGTACGGTTGGTACCTGCAGTGTCTGCTCTGGTGGCTGTTGGGCTGTGGCCCTGTGAGCTGGTGATGCTGGGCACGCTGCAGGAGTGGAGCTGGGCAGTGCTGGTGCTCAGCTGTGGACAGATAGGCGTGAGATGAGGCTGCTCCGTTCTGCGGGCAGGAGTTCAGCATAACAGTGTGAGAAGGGATCTGTAGATCCTGCTGAGCAGGCTGCTTGGTCTTGGCTCTGAGCCACAGCACTGAGTTAGAGGTGAGGAAATAGATTCCTGCTGTCTTGCATGGAGAGCAAGTAGAAGCATTGCTTCTGTTCTCTGAAAAAGCAGCGGCTGAAGGTCCGGCTCGGTGATGAGGGTGTGTGACACGGGCTGCAGCCTGCTGGGGGGTGGCAGCAGTGCAGGGCTGGATGGAACAGCCATTGCTGCCTGCGTGCAGCCGTTTTGTTTAGTGATGGATGACAATGCACATTTGCTGGTTTGGGATGAAGATGCCAAGTGGAGGCAGCTGATCTGCAGATTGCTTCTGGGCCATTTTTCCTATGGAAATGCATCTTCCCTCTGCTGTGCTGTGTGAGTGTGGCCGTGAGCAGCTGAGCCCAGAGCTCCTGGCCAGCAGGGAGGTGGCAGTGAGCAATGAGCAAGTACCAAAGAGGAAACGCCGTTCTGAAATACAGCTCAGAGCTGACCCTCTGGTAATTCTGTGACATGGGCTGCACTGCAGGAGCTGCTGTGAAGCTTCCTTGTATCTGATTTGCAAGTCTGCACATCAACAAATCCTGTTCTGGCACCCCTATGGAAATTGTGGGTGGGAGCCGGAGAAGCATATGCCTTGTGTTGGTGCTGCAGTGGGGCAGACTTGGGGGGCTGTCCTGACAGAGATGTGTGCGTGCTGCTCCTGGACAAGAGGCCTGGCTGTGAGCATCTGTTGCTACCTCTGGAAATCAAATGCACAACGCCTGCCATGAGCATGGTGAGCCCGTGTCATATGGTTGGACAGCAAAGGTAAGTATTCCCATCCACAGAGGATTGCTGAGGTCATTGTTGGGAAGAATGGCCCATAGTGAGAGCAATCCCTTGCCGTGTCTGCAAAGGGGCTTGGCTGCATCCTGCTGCAGGTGAGCACAGTGCTGGGTGCCGGAGCAGTGCTGAGAGGCAGCAGCAAGCAGCAGCACACACTGAGCACAGGCAGACAGGCGAACACTGCCAGGAGCACTTCAAAATCGGTCTCAGTGCTGTAGAGGAGCCCTGAAGCAGCACAAGGTGCTGGAGGGCAGCATGCTGGTGCAGCTTGTCCTGTTGCTAGTACCTGCGGTGTTACTTCTTGGGCTCTCCCAAGCACTTTGCTTTGCTTTGGGAAGCTCCGTGAGCAGGAATTTTGTTCAGCGTTTCCTTACTCCTCAGTTTCTTACCATCAAGCCACTTTCCAGGGCAGCACTTGTGCTTGTTCTCTGGCACAATACAGGTGCTGGGCACATGCACTGCCTTTTTGTGGATGCCCTGCTGCAGAGCTACTGCTGCAGTACACAGGCAGAGAACGCCATAACGTAGTGGTGTTAATAAGCCTTTGTGTTTTGGCACCAAGCTAGAAGGCAGTGTGTTCAGGTGTTAAAAAATCACAGTGGTATCGTGCCGAATGTTTGGATTTGGATCACAGGAGTTTGTGGAACCCCTGTAGAAAACAGCAAGTAGAGCTCTCCCCAATGCTTTGGTTTACTTTTTTATTTCAAGTGAAATGCAGTGGGAAAGGATGTGGTCTCGAAGTAGCAGCCTCGAGATGCAGGTATGTTTGTGTTGCAGTTTAGAAGGGTGATGCTTGCAGCTAAGGGTCACCTCATGGCTCTGTTAGTACAGGTGCACTGAGTGTCATGCAAGGCTTTTGTCCTGGGTCTATGCCACTGCTTAACAGCTTGTTCAGCCAGCCAGCTGTGGGTGGGAGCAGCCACCTGAATCCTCATGGGAGGAGGCAAAGCGTTCTGCTCCAGATGAGCTCAAATCTGGACGACCTTCTCCAGCCACAAACCTCCAGCTTTGTCATTAAAGGTGCTTTATTCTGTGCCTGCCTGCAGCCTAGCACTTGAGCTTGACCAGAGAAAACAACAACAACCAAATTTCAGGTTTCCAACATTCTATTTATAAATAATATACGCACGTAGTAAACAAAGTCATTAAATGTGTAACACATACTTCAAGCCTGTAATTAGAATACTTCAATAAATCATTAAAATTCTCAGCAGCCCATCTGACTTACTGTGTGCACATGGTGCCTGCTTCTTTATTTCTGGTGAGGATCCCTTCTGTGCTGAGCCCTGAAGGCAGGTTTGCTCTGACTGGTTTTGCAGCAGGGCTGAAAAGTTCAATCAAGTTAGGGATCCTTCAGTGCCCTCGTGGGGCTGTAGCACCATTGTCAGTGGGGCTGAAAGGTGTGTCTGTATGAAGGCAGTAGTGAGGAATGCTGTCTGCTGGATACTGAGCATGTCGGCTTGGCAAAAGATTCTCAGATGTCGCATTTCTGACCTGCTGTGTGCAGCTGGAGCGCAGTGCAACCATGACCTGGTCAGCTGCTGAGGTCTGACCTTACTGAAATACATCCTTGCTGTTCCTGGACGAGCAATATTTTGGATGATTTTTAGCTTGTCTGGTGGAGTTCAAACCAGCCTTGTGTTCAGGCAGGGGGGCAGGAACCTGAGGCAGCTCTAGCTCTCTGCAGGCAGCCTGAGCAATTAATCTCGAGAAGCCTGCCGACAGCCCCAGCAATTTGGACTTTTGTCTTTAATTCTACCTTGAGCGTGCTCTGGGTGAAGAGCTGCTGCGCTGTGAAGTAAGGCATGACTTAGAACCTGGAAAGGTTTGTGAGTTGGGTTGTGTTACCTGAAGGTGTGACGTGCAAGTTGCTGTCCTAACTGCAACGAAACACATTGCAGGACTTGGCTAAAGTGCAAACATCCGGGCCAGGCTGATGTGCCACCCTGACAGCCTACCTTGTGAAAGAGCTGCAGTTCAGTCTCACCGTATCCAAATTCAGTTTCCCTCCGTAGGAAAATTCTGGTGGCAAAAAAGTTGTTGGGAAGACAGAGATGGGATTATACTCAAGTTCAGGGTCTTCTTCAGTAGTGTCTGTGACAAGAGGTGAGATGGCTGAGGGCAGGTAGGCTGTAGCTCTGTCAGTAATTGGAGTAGCAATGTACTCAGAAACGGGTTGTGTTTGCTCTGTCACTTCCAGCACCATCTTCTTGTACAAGTCGGGAAGCTGATGCTCGTAACCGTCTCCATCTGTGGTGCTGGGTAGAGGCCTGTACTCCGACTCCTGCTTCTCAAAGCTGCTTTTCAGTTGCCAGTCACGATTGCTGCTGCTGCTGAAGATGAGCCTGTCTGTCTGCACAAAGCTTTCCTCTACTTCTGTTGTTTCAGGCTCTTCAAAACTGCTGGTGTTGTGTAAGAGCAGACTGGAAGGCACGCTCAGCTCACCCTGCTGGGGGGGCACGCGTACAGCAGCGCTCATTAATCCTGCACTCGGTGCCTTGTGCCCTCCCACCCAGCCCCGAAATGCAGGCATCTCCACCACTGCTAAGCAGCAAATGGCCCTGCACAGTTCTGCAGTGTGTGTGTGATGCACACTACGTGTAACACAATACAGAACGGAGCTGCTTCCGTGCCAGAAAGTGCAGGACTTGCTCTGTTAAGAGGCGACTGATTTGCGTAGCTCTGACTGCTTTTTCTGCTGAAGATGATGGGGTTAGAAGGAAAAAAAAAAGGTCTGATTTACCTTCCTAGACTTGTCGTTCTTAGCCCATGTAGCGTTAGCTGGATCTGGAATGGCTTTGTTGTACCACTGAGGTACAGCGGCAGAAAAGAGCAAGAGTGATCTGCGGGTGGAACAAGTGAAGTTAAAAGCACAAATGCCAATACCTGCGAGTTCTGCTGAGCTGGAATGTGCTGTTTGTGAGTGCAATTACTGAAGGTTCTGCGTGATGAGTCTGCGTTACTACAGAATAGCAGAAACTCAGGCTGGGTGGGACTGGCAGAGCCTGCCCAAGTTTCTGAGGACGCAGCAATTTTGGCTGATTGGAAACTGCGCAGCATGGAGTTTCCACTTTTTCAAATGCTTCTGGCCAGGACTCCACTTATGAGCACATATTGTTGCCCACTGGTCTGTAGTCTCCAGCGTGTTTGGTTTTGGCTGTTCCAGATGCTAATATTTCCAGGTGCAAAGCCAGCAGTGAGGTAACACTGAGCAAGTACTGACTTAGCAAAAACCAGTGCAGCACAGCATCGTCCTGCAGCCAGCCCTCATTAGGTGTGCATGACTAACAGCAGAGCGTGCTCAGCACGGCCATGAACTCAGCCCTGGAAAATCGGGTTGGGGACGTGTTTATGTTGCTTTAAAGAAAAAGGGCTTTTTGTCACAGGCTCTGACTTCCTTCTCAGGAAGTGACCAAGGTTTGTACCAGCTCGGGTTCAGTGGAAGCTGGCCTTAAGATCTCTGTTACAAACTCATGATGTGAACTATAGCTATCTATAGCTATCTCACACAGTGTGGTGTTGTTACCACTCTCATTATCCAAAACCTTTGTTCAAAACAATCCTCCCTGTTCCCCAAGATGTCCCCAGAGCTCGTTAATATGCCCTCTAGCAAAACTCCCACGCGTTACTGGAATGCAATGCATCGATCCACTCACAGTTTTCTTGCAGGACGCAGGGAGCAAATGCAGGCTGAGAGTATGAAGAAGCTGCAGGTGAGCACAATAATCCAGTCCACTGCACCTGGAACAAGGAACGGACATTTTAACCTTGTTTTAATGAGGAAAAGTTTACTCTAGCTCAATCTGGACAGCACTCATAGCTTGAGCTTGTAAAGAATACCAGAAGTTTGAGGTTTTAAATCAGGGAACTGAATGAAGCGCTGACATTTGAGCACAACAGTACTTTATAACATTAGAATGTCTGCAACTGTTGAGGTAGGCAGTGCATAATCCAAAATACGTGATTGCTGACCTTCTAGAACTGAACCTCCCACTGACACAGGGCACAAATTTGTTTTTGCAGCCCCTGGGCAGTGCAGAAGCAGGGACCACACACAGGACTCTGTTGGTCCCTCTCCCCCAGCAGGCTCCTTACTTTCCAAGCAGACCAGCTCGCTGTTTCCCCAGGGGCTTTCTCCAGCATCTGTCAGTGCTGTCATCCACAGGACATAACACTCCCCACTCTGTAGATCTGTGATGTAAAACGAATGCTGGGATGTTGTATTACAAATGGCTGAAAGAAAAAAAGGGAAAAGCAAATAAAAATCCTAGCATGTGTTCTTACTGCATTTAGCTCTAAGAATTGTGTTTCCAGAAGCCGGAACATGCAGAAGTTCTCTATTGCTGTAAGTAACCTCCTTGTCTATGTCAGTGAGTCCTTGGAAGGGCTATAGGAGGGGCTATAGGAGAGCTCAGGCCATTGGGGCTGTTCTGAGACCTGTCCCACTGCACACAGTAGAACAGATGCTGCACAGCACTGGCTGCCCTGTCCTTGGACTATTGTAGTTTGGTAAATCAGTGTCTAAATCTAAAATGAGGTTTGCACGGTGGAACTACAAAACATCCATTAAAAGCTGCCGTGCAGCTCCTGAATGAGAGAAGAAAAAGCGTTTCTTGTCCTGGAGGGCAGTTACACACGTGGAGAAAAAGGCCGTGCACAGGGAGGGCATCCAAGTGCAGGAAGGCAGTGCCTGTTACCTGCTGTGTCTCACCGTGCTGATTTTGTTTGTTGAATACAGCTCTTAGCAAGTCTGTTATTCGCACCCTGCCGATAATTACAGCGCTCTGACTCATGAAAATAACAAAAAGAAAAAAAAAAAAAAGTGGGGGAGAATTTTTTTTCATTCAGAATAACTGAGAATTGTCTACCTTAACATATGAGTATGAAAATGCAGCCCTGTTCGTGAGCAGCTGTAGCAGAGAACTGGATCTTGCTGCCAGGTGAGCTGCCTGGGGCTCCTTCCTGCAGCCTCTTTCTTCACCACCCCTCTCCCCTCAATAAACAGCACTTGCACATCACGTTGTTTTTACCAGGTTCCTACCATAGACGTAAGGATCCACGTTACTGTTCTTTTTTTGCAGGTATATATTGTACTGTGTGATGCAGCCCATCTGCTGGTGGGAAGGGATTTCTTCCCACCAAACCAAGAGGCCGTTTGTCTGTGGCTTTGTGGACACTTGTGGCCCAGCTGATGGTGCTACAAAACATAACATAACACACAACTTTTAATGCTGAGCAGTTTAAGCTGGCTTTAAAAGATGTGAAAGAGAATCACTGTGTTACCTTTTTCTCTCGAGTATCCCCTCACTGATTTGGCTTGCCCAGCTCTGTCCTGATACAGCGCAAACACACTAATGTGATAGCACACGTTATCTTCTATGTGCTCTGCATGAAGAAACAGAAATAATTATCCCACTAAAATATTCACAGTTAGGGCTAAAATATTCACCTGCTCAGATCTATCCCCAGGCCTTAACGTGGGTTATGGAAGAGCGACAGTAATTAATGTTTTCCTTTCTTGAAAAAGGTACAAAGTAATGGCATGAATGTGTTATTTTTTTTCCTGCTTGCTTGAGAGCAGGGATTTAAAACCCTGGGAGGCACAGCACCAAGACAAGGTAGGAAGGACTAACTGGAATAGCAGCAGCACTCTAATTGCAACTTTGAAGCCATCTAGGATAAAGAATATTGCTGCTGTAGTTCCGTTTGGGTCAGTGACCAACAATGGGAGGCATCCAAGGCCAGGCTGGATGTGGCTCTGGGCAGCCTGGGCTGCTGGTTGGTGACCTGCACACAGCAGGGGTTGGCACTGATGAGCGTTGTGCTCCTTTGCAACCCAGGCCATGCTGGGATTCTATGAAAACTAGGAGATGGGAATGCTCTTGATCCTTGAGGTCCCTTCCAACACAAGCCGTCCTATGATTCTATTCTTAAATCTCTGATCTTTGTCTTACTGCATTTCAGAAGGACTGATTTTATTTATTTTTTTCTGAGGCATTGCACTTACCAGGCAAATCTCATTTGAGGGACTGCCAAACCACTCGTTTTTTTTCCTCCCATGTAAAAGGCTTTAAACATGACAGTCTCTTATGCTGAATTAGTAACAATTAGAGTCTGACTTGTTCCTTAAAAGGCTTTCACAATTAAAATAGTACATCAACAATATCCTGCTTCTCTGTGCTGCTCACCTGGTATCACTATAGACAGGTTGGATGCAACAAGTCTTATCCAGCTTGGATGGGGCTCCAGGCTGTTCTTCCTGTGGGTGTTTATCCATTCCACAACATAGCCATTGATGGATGCAGTGGATTTAATGGGAGGTTTCCAGCTGACCAAGATGCTGTTATTTCCCATCGCCACAGCAGAGACGTTCCGAGGAGAGGGCAAATCTGTCATGGGAGAGAGAACAGCCAAACAGAAACCACACCGTCAGCACAGATTTGCCTCAGCCTTAAGGTGACGTGGTAAGTTTGATACCTGGTTTTTACCACGTTTCACCCCTTACCATCATGCTCCCTTCAGTTCTGCCTTCCCTCGTACAAAACAAATGAAAAGAAGCCATTACTCTTCTTTTTTGTCATAGTTAGATGTCTGCTTTGTCAGGCGCCTGGGTGGCTTGCACTGTCAGCAGGAGGGGTTAAAGTTATGGCAGTGCTGATTGAGGGCAACTTGGCTCATCAGGAAACCACACTGCAGTCCTTGACCACGTTTGTGAGTGGATCTGAACTGCGGTCACTGCGGATCCCTGGAGATGTGTGCAGATCAACACGAAGGAGCACCAAGTGGCAGAATCTGAATGCTTCTGTGGCACGTAGCTGTGAGCACTGCAAAGCAGAGCTGAGGTGATTTCCAGTGGCTGAGAACAGTGGAAGGCTTTACCTTGGATGCTCAGGTTGGTCAGGATGGATGCAGGAGGTGAGCTTCCCCTCGAGTTATCAGCAGTGACTGTTATCTTGTAGTCCATCTTTGGAGCAGCTTTGGTGTAACTGGTTTGTGTGGTCGCATTTGTTTCTGTTGCTTTGGGCTCCCCATGGCTTAGTGCTTCAAAGGTCACTGTGTAATGCAGGATTTTTCCTCTTGCCTCCGACTTCTGCAGAGCCTGCAAAGAAGATGTGCTTGCTATGTTTCTAGTCAAGGCAAAAGCCTGGAATTGTATGGATTACATGGATTGTCCTGCAGAAAATTCTGATGGTAGCAAACTGATGTTTTAAGGCTGCTCAGGGAAGGAGGCACTGGTTTGGCTTCCTGTGCTCAGACAGCCAGATATTCCAGTTTGCTGCCCCTCTGCAGGACAAACGTGTGTCACATAGCTGCAGTAGCAGCATTCCACGTGGGGGGGTAAAGTGCAGGAAAACAAAAGGCTTCTCTTCAGCCACTGACAGTGAGTGGTTTGTTCAGCTGATTTGGCCACCGGGAACCAAATCCTCCACCTGCTTAGAACCGGACCTTCTCTCAGAAGAGAGATTTCTGTTACACTTACAGACCCTCCTGAGCAAGGAGGAGCTCACAAACATCTGCCTGCGGATGGTTTTGTTTTTGCCCATTCATTGTGAGATTCCCAACGAGCAACAACTGCAGAGCCTTTTCCACGTGAGGCGATGAAGGAGGCAAAGCCTCATTTCAGAACCTGCCGTGAAGGCGGTTGGGACACTTGTTATTTCCTGGCATGAATGAATCAACACATTTTTTTTTCCTTTCCAGGAAAGATTAAGTCCAAAGTAAGGTTTCAGTGCCTCCTAGGAGCTGGTGATCATCATTAAAAAGTCAGAAAGATCACCAGATTTGCTACCAGCTCTGTGCTACCATCGGTCTGCCACTATCAGCCCTTTAATATACAGGCTCGTGGCAGATGGTGGCTTCAAAGCTCCTCCCTAGTTCGAATGCTCATGCTACCCAACTTAAGAGAGGAACTTTCATTTGAAGGTATTTTATTCCTCCCTTTTTGTTCCCATCATAGTAAAGAAATTCCTTACAGCGACTGCATCACTTGCTGGACAATAGCAAATAGCAGCTAATGTTCTTTGGTAACAAACAATCGGTTTTTACTTTCTCCTCTCTTAAAAGTGGAAAGAAACATGGCTTTCCAACAACTTGGTGCTTGCACAAAGATGTTTTCCATTTCGTAGTGTTCAGCTGCTAAATGGAGTTTCCCACTACCAGCTGCAGCTCTCAGAAAGAAGGACCCTTGCAGTCTCTCCCTCATTAAATCTATTACCTTCTTCTATGTAGCGTCAGATGTCTTCATATTTGATTGCTGGGTTTGTTTGTTTTAAAGCAAAATTGTAACTGAAGTGAATTAATTCCCTAATGGTAGTGACAAGAGCATACATTTTAGCTGAGATTCCTTCTAGAGGTTGCATATCTATTTCTTATTTCTGATTTTTCCCGTGTAATTCCAGTCTAGTGAAGCTCTTCAGCTCCTTGCTGCCTAAAAACGAACTTACTTTCACTGCAGCAGGGTCTGTGCTGATAGGACAAGGGGAAATGGCTCCAAACTTAAAGAGGGGAGATTTAGGTTGGATATGGGGAAATGGTTTGAAGTTGAAGGAGGGAAGATGTAGGTTGGATGTCAGGGGGAAGTTCTTTGCTGTGAGAGCGGTGAGGTGCTGGAACAGCTGCCCAGAGAGGCTGTGATGCCCCGTCCATCCCTGGAGGTGTTGAAGGCCAGGTTGGATGGGGCCCTGGGCAGCCTGGGCTGCTGTGAAATGGGGAGGTTGGTGGCCCTGAGTGTCGTGGGGGGTTGGAACTTGATGATCCTTGGGGTCCCTTCCAACCCAATCCATTCTATGGTTTTTTGATAAGGAAAAAGTCACTTTCTTGTAGGGCCTCATTCACCAGCTTTCTGAAAGCTCTGCCCTTTCTGTATGGAAACACTTGCTCTGAGCTTGTCCAGTTTCAGATCTACAGCTGTATCATTGGCCAACTATTCTGTGTGTGCCCATCTCCTGCTTCACACCTGTACAGAGACGTTTTCTGTCTGCTTCTGCAGTATAACAAGGGATTCAGCTGACCATGGGCAAAGCACCAATGTGGACAGAGCAGCTGAAATTACCCAGGCTATATCCAGCCTTTTTAAAGCTGTACAGAATTTGGTTACCTTAAGGGAGAGCCAGTTACAATGACTCAGCTCCTCTATCTCCCCCGTTCTTCATCACCCTGCTCTTCATCTCAGAACAGAAGCTCCTCTAAAAGGAGTTCATAGTCCAAGGCACGCATGTGAAGCTGCCTACTGATCACCTGGGGCACAGCATCCCCCTTTCCTCCAATGATTTGTGTTCTGACTGTATACAATAAGGTAGAAAATGAGGAAGGTCTTGGGTAGTAGAGTTATTCTGAGTAATTGCATATCTCTGGACAAAGCACTGCTGTGCCCTGGTTCAAGTCCTTTCCTGCAAACACATTACATATGGTTCCCCCTCCAAAGCTGCTCATTATTTCTGCATAGGCTAAGTTTCCCTTAACTTACCTTCCAAAAAAGAGAAATGTTCTGCATTTGAGAGTCTATATCCTGCTTTTTGTACCAGACATCTAAGAGCCCAGTAGGCACTGGTTGGGAAAGAAAAGAAACAGAATTAATGATGGTGTTTTGCAGCAAACAAGACATCAAATAGTCCACAAAATGCTGACCTGTGCGACCTGCTGTAGGGAATCTGCTTTGGCAGAGGGGTTGGACTCGATGATCTCAGGAGGTCCCTTCCAACCCCTACAATTCTGTGATTCTGTGATTTGGAACCTCAGAAATCATGCAAGTGCTGTAGTCCTAAAAGCATCGTTTTGTATTTTGAGCTTATATTTGCTATTACAGCTGGAGTTCAGCTGCAGTGCTGACTGCCCAATGGCCATAGTCACAAAGAAGAAACCATCTCAGTAAGAGGGGTTCTGGTCTGCCTGAGCCTTTATCTTGCACTCAGGAACCACTGACTTCCAAGAAAGCCTATAAATCAAAGGGACAGTATTAGCTCTCATCTTTGCACAAAAGTTGAGGTGAATGAAGGTGCAAGGAAGATGCTTCCTGAAATCCCTCGATGTTTAAAATGATACTCACTGAACCCTACTGTTTTTGACTGCAAAAGCTAATAAACAACATGCTCCAACAATTCGGAGTTGGATAAAGAGATACGAAGAAAGGCAGTGTGACAAAGCTTGGCTCCTCAAGGTCCTTGAGCACAATCAACTCATCAAAATCAAAGCAGTGTTTCTAATAACCTAACAGCAGGCAACTGATGCACAGCCCTATTTAGACTGGGGCTGAGGCTGCCTGCTATTTCTTAAATGCAAAGACAGAAAAAATCCTCAGTGCCAGCAATGTTAAGGACTATTTGCCCTGCTTATAATAGTGAGTGGAAATAGAAAAAAAAGAAAGAAAACAACAGAAAACAAACCTTGATCTTGCAGGTTGTTTCCAACCTCGATTTTATGATTCTATGAAACCATGGGATGCACAGAAGAAATGCAAGCAGAATGCACTCACTGTGAGCAGGGGGCAAGTTCAAAGCAGGAGGGAAGAAAACAAACAGGTTGTCTCTGTTGAACGGCAGCCCAGATTTTAGGGCTCTTTTCACACATGGACCACAGAAATCAGGTGGAAAAGAAAGGCTCGCGTCACTGAAGTGTCTGCAGAAAGCAAGTTTTGTGGCCTGGAAAACATGGGGAAAAAAAAACCCTTCTAAGTATAAAAGGTGCAGTCTTGAATTCGCCGAAGGCCAAAGGAGTGTGAAAACTTCAGCTATTTTGAAGAAGAGAAAGAATTATGTACGTTTGGCTCATCGTCTGCAGCCTCACCTCCCTCACCAGAAACATTCCCTGAGCAGTTGAGGAGAATCTTACTCTGCAGCACTGGCTGGGGAAAGAGGGGTGATGACCACAGACACCATAGCAACGCTGAGTGCATTGAAAAGGTTAAGAAAACTGTTGAGAGGAAGGTGGGGGAGGGAAGAAGTTCGCACCTTTTGCATCAATCAATGCTTCTTACAGAAACTGTTGCTGGCAGAAGTGGTAAACAGCATGAGTAATAGATGGAGGAGCCTGGAGAGCTTATAGTAATTCACAAGAAAAGAGCAATGAAAGCCAACCACGAGATGAAAGGGGGGGATGCCAAAGAAGGCAACGCATCTGCACTGAGATTCTTCTTGAGAAGCTTTCTTCTTCCATAAGAACATGCAGGAGTTGGGTGTGCAGATGAGGACCTGCATCTGACAGAAGGCTTCTGGTGTTAGAATTGGTGTAAAAGAGGAGAATTGAGCTCGTGTCTGTGCTGCGTCCCCTGGACTCTGCTGTGCAGTCCCACCAAGCAGAAATGCTGTGCTCTCATGTTCTCATTCGTGATGGGGTAGCGCTGTGAAATGCCAAGTCCTCACCCATTAAGGCTGCAGAGATCTCCAGTGACTGCACTGTTTAGAGGAGAGAGCTAGCTGCCAATTCTCTAAACAAAATATTTTCTTTACTCAGGAAAAGATGAATCAGCAGATTTAAACCATTTTGTCACAACCTGTAACTGAACTGAACCAGAAGAAGCAGTTTTCTGGGCCCAGCTCCTCAGCAAAGTGTCCAGCAGGCTCATGAACCCAGCGTGTCCCAAACGTGATGTTCCTCAGTGACTGAGTGTCCCCTGCCAGCCGTGCTGCCTTTTGTGTGGGATTGCTGCAGTAATTCTGCAAATGCTTTGATAGAAACCAATACGAAACGTTTTCCTTTTCCCAGTTAAGCAGCACAAATTTCTCTGGCTTTTCCAGATGTGCAGCAGTGTGACAGGCTGCAAACCCCCTGCGCAAGGCACAGAAATTTCCTCCAACCTTCAATCATGTGGAAAGAATACATCCTTCAGAACTTCTCAATGACCTCCTGAAATTCCTGCTTCATCAGAAACGTGAACTGATTGTTTTCCGTTCACAAAAAAGACCTGTTCTGTTATAGAAGTTTACTTCCCTGCTGGCTTTGTTTCTGGATTTACAGATTCTCACCAGGAGCAAAAAGCAAACAGTGTTCTGAGTTCCCCCAGAGGGTGGTGAGGCACTGGCACAGGCTGCCCAAGGAGGCTGTGGATGCCCCATCCCTGCAGGCATCCAAGGCCAGGCTGGATGTGGCTCTGGGCAGCCTGGGCTGCTGGTTGGCGACCTGCACACTGCAGGGGGTTGGAACTGATGAGCGTTGTGCTCCTGTGCAACCCAGGCCATTCTAGGATTCATTAGCTACATAGGCTTGGTATAACAAATCATATTACCTGCTTCTGGAGTCTGGGATCGGAATGCACTCCAGTTACTCCACAGTCCCCTCTCAGGATGAATTTTACAGCTCACTTGAAATTCATACTCTGTATGAGGCTCCAGACCGTGAAGGCTGCATTTTTCACTCTCTAAATTTTCAACCTTCAGTGAAGATAAAGGACATGTAACATTAAGCTCACAGGGAAACAGGAGTTTATATTAACTCCTATATATTATTATAGGAGTTAATAAGGAGTTCTATGTTCATGCATTTTACTCAACTTCAAGCAGTTCCTTCATTTTAGCACTTAAAATACAAGCTAAGGATTCCAACCAGCATTAAAGAAGACACAAGCATTTGGAAAATGTGCACCCAAAGCCTTGAGCTACAATGAGCAGAAATGACCACATTTTAGTAGTGGTGTGCCAAAATAAGCTCTGATTTGTTGTGCTTTATACTTGATATATGGCAGGTTGTTTTGTGTTTCTTTTTTTCATGCTAAGTGTTGCACCTTCATTATCAGTTATCTTATCAGGTGTCTTATCTGATACCTGCAGTATCAGACCAGCAATAGAGGCTTAGAGGAGCGGGCAATAGTTTTTCTTAATTAAGATGCTACAGAGCAGACCTGAGAGAGAAATAACAATTATAAAGGAGCATCCAAGGATCATAGTTTAATTTATTCTTCAGAAGAGGATTACCATGTTCCAGGTGGAACTGCTAACTGGACGGTATCTCACTCTGCAGTGCTGCCCTCGGACTTCACTGTGCCAGAACAAGGTGCAATTTGTTGCAGAGTTTTCAAATTCCACTAAAAAGTTTGGAGGATGTGGTTTCACTGGCAGCAAAAACAGAAACAAAACAAAGAAGCAGCACTCAGATGTGCATCACAGCAAGTAAAGGAGGGCTAGGTAAATAGAACGGGTGATTGAGATGGATGGATGGATGGATGGATGGATGGATGGATGGATGGATGGATGGATGGGTGGATGGATACCTCCTCTGACAGATTTGAACAGCAAAGACAGAGTGCTCAGTTTGCACTTTCTCTAAACAGCCAGTGCTGACTGAAAGAAGGTAAGCAAGGCACTTACCTACATCTATTAGCATGAACTTAAGTGGCTGAGAAAAAGCACTTCCTAGCTTGTTGGAGGCGACAACCACAAGTCTGTAAGTAGCTTCAAAATTCAACTTTGTACTCAGGACCAGCCAGCCAAACTTGTTACTCAGACTTTCTTCTGAAAAGCACGAGGTGTCAGTCCCATCTGATAGCCTAGAACAGAAGGAAAGCCCTTGGTTAATACCCTTTTGTACACTGTGACAGATAAATCCGTCTGTTCCTTGCTCAAGGCTTGCTGCAGAGGCCTGCAGTCTATTTCAGGGAAAGCTCAGCAAAGCCAGAGAGAGCTACAGCACTGTTGGTTCCTTAAGAGGAAGCAAAAATAACACAGTTTGGAAAAGTTCTCTCTCCATCTCCTTCGCTGAACCGTGAGACACAGTGAGAGGATCAGGACTGAGGTTTCCTGGTGCTGGCATTGCTAATCACAACATCTCTACGTAGAGAAGACCCACGATGGGCAAACAGCAGCCAATTTAAGGCTACTTCTACTATTAAACTTCCTTTTACAATGAAGGAGCCATGAAGTGGCGTATTCTCTTAGTGTGCTTAATCCAGAAGTAACTAAACTACTGCTGTGCAGCACACAGCTGTAACCAGAAAAGGTCTTTGGTGATCATGGCAGCCTTGTATTCAGAAAGCAGCTCTTGTGTGAGTTGATAAAGGGTAAACCTGTAACAAACAACCTAAAACTAACGTAAAGACCCCCTAAGATGCGATTACAGGCTTTAAAGAACTCACTTCCCGTGTCACTTACTGTATCACATACGTAGTGTTCATGTGTGTAAACCTTCCTTTGTCCCAGGTGCAGGTAAGGTTGCCATCCGTCCCATCCTGGATACATGACACATTTCTTGGCTGATCTGGAGGATCTTAAGCAGATATTCTGATCAGCCTCTTCCTTTAAAACGTTGAGAGCAGCAAGCTGCTGACATGCAAATGTTGCCACTACATATAAAGCAGCAGGGGAGGTTTGTCAGAGGTGAGAGACAGCAGGTGCAGCAAGACAGACATCACACAGAGCCCTCCAGATGCCCACATCCCCATGGGGGGCTGGGACTCAGGGTGAGAAAGGCTCTGTTGTGTTGCATGGTTCCAGCCAGCAGCATTTCAGATATCAAAGCAATACAACACAGCACCTTCTCTAGGAGAGGCCACCCCTCTGAGCTCCTAACCTCTGCTTCAGAGGCACCCCAGAACACCCGAAAGAACAAGGAACAGTGAAACTCTCCTTACTTCCAGACTCTATATCAATTCCACAAATGAGTTTTTTCTTGTATTCACAATCTATTTTGCAGGTAAACATGTGTTTGCCATACGTATTGACTGGAAATGTGTTGCTTACTGAAGTGCCATAATTGCTAGTCAGTTCAGAACTGTTAAAGAAAAGAGCAATCTTGCACTGCTCGCTGTATTTCAGTTGCTTTAGCTGGCATGAGAGGGTAATGTTGGTTCCAGGCTGGACGTGAGCAGCAGTGTTAGCAGTCATGTTTCCTTTTTCACATATTTCTGCAACACCGTGGGGAAGTTTGCTGGCAGACACATTTCCTTTACTGCATGCTTCTGCAACAGAACGGGAGAACAAACCTTTCAAATGGATATATTGCTTATCTCATAAAACTTGCTACCTCTGGGAAGACAGTCGTGCCAAGTTTATCACGTAAGGATAAGGATTCTTGTCTCTGAGTTGTAACTCACAATGTATTACTGTCCAGTCTTCACTGGTTGGATTAAATGGAGATCAGAAACCAAAGCCTAACTCCCAGTGATCACACCAAAAAGCCCCCAGGGCAAAATCTACTCATCTAAACTGCTTTTTTTCACTGCTGTTTAATGAATGTTGCCGTGAAGAATGGGAAGACACTCAATGGTAGCAGTGCACCAATGGGCTCTTAAGGAAAGTAAACCTAACTGAGCATCAGATTTTGCTCTCTCTAATAAGAAAGATGTTTACTGGTGTGTCTGAATGAAAACACTTATTACCCAGTGCTTCTTTTAAGTGCTAATTGCTATATACATAAAAATGAAATCTTACCTGCTGTGATGGACATCAACAAACAAATTGTGGCAGCTACAATCCATGCAAATTGCATTTTGCTCCCTACACAGAAACGATCACCATTTACCAGTTCCTAAAAAGTGGGAAAGAAATCATTTCAGAACTTCAGAAAATTCAAAATCCTTCCTTCATCAGTCCTTTCTGATTGATTAATTAACTCTCCTTGCTAACGCTGCTGAGCTGTGGCACCAGATGCAATCCTAAGCAGCAGCTGGATGTTACACTGGCTCTCCCTGCAGACTGGCACACAGCTCAGAGTCACAGACACTTGGACATGGTGCTTCAAGGAGAGGCATACTTCCTCCTTTCCCTCTCAAAGATGCTCTGCAAGCCCAGAACCAAAAGCCTTGCTGCAAAAGAGAACCAGAACAGACCCTCAATACCCCCCATGCAAAGGACAAAGGTTTTTCTCATTCATTTCTGCTTTTGCACCTCCTGCACTGCACACTTGCAATTTTAAAGTAAACTTCTTCAACTCCTTGTGACAGCTAAAATTTAGCAGAAGCTGAAGCAGAAAGGACACGCTGTACCAAGGACGTTTGAACAATCAGTATATAGAAGCAGCAATTCTCAAGCCTCTTCATTTTCTTCTCAAGGGAGAAGAACACATGCTATTTCTCCCCAAGATGCCTTTTTTACTTGCTGCATTCCAGCAGCTGTCACAGCCCTGAAGTCCTGCACCTCTTTTGCAGCCTGAGCTCCCCAATGTGCTCCTGCCAGCCAGGCAGCCTGCAGAGGTGCTGGTGTAGCCCAGGGCACACAGCTCAGGCTGCCTGCACGCCCAGCCTGCTGTCTGCCCACTGCTGCTGCCTACCCGGGGTTTCTGACGCTGCTGAAACCAACCAGCCACCTCACATGGGTGTCACCCCAGCCTGTTCACCACCCTTCGTCCCATCTGCCTTTTAGCTCTGTCAACTGTAAGCAAACAGAACAAACGCAGAACAAGATCTGTTTCTTTGGGGAACAGAGATGAAGAAAGAAATGAAGAAGAAGGGAGGGGTAAGAGACAGGATGGAAACGTCTGGGGCTTCCTAGAGCCCAACACTGACACTTTCCTCACCTTTTGCAGGTGGATTTCTCTCCCCTCTCCAGTGGCAGACTGCTGTGGCACACATTCGGATGGGGCAGCCAACAGCTGTGAGAGCACCAAGGAGATGGAGTTAAGGACACACCAACGAACGGCGAGGAGAGAAGGAGAGGGTCTGCAGCGTAGGGAAACCCTGCTGAGAATCCAGAGCCAGATCCGATGTCCGCAGCGCAGATGGGAGGACGCAGCGCTCCCGCTGTTGAGGACGCGGGTTCTCTTCCACTGACCTGAGCCGGGACTTCCTACAGATTCATACAAACGTTTCATTTAAATCCTCGAGTTCTTCGGATGGAAACGTTTTGCTGCAGCACCTCGGCTTCACACCGACACGCTGACAGCAGCCAAGTCTGTAGGTGAGTCGTAAGTGCCGGGATGAGCAATCGCAGCCCCGCGCTTCTTCAGATAAACGCTCTGCCTTCCAATAAACTGAAATTGCCACCTTGACTGGGTAAACATCCTTCTCCTTCGCTGCCAGCAAAGCCGTGCCCCAAACGCCTGAGTGAAACCCAGCAGCTCCTCACGCAGCCCTCATACAGCAGCGGATCGCTATGGAAGCGCCCGCCTTACCGGCACCACGAGGAGCGCGCAGCGCCGTCGCGTTACACCCCGAAGTAAAAACGGGTTTATCGGAGGCCGTCGGGAGCACCGAGATCGGGAGCCGCGTTTACCGGGGCCGCCGGCAGCGCAACGGCGCCCGGCCGAGGGTCGTCCCGCCCGGCTGAGGTAAGCGGCCGTTAAAGGAGCCCCGCCCGCGGGGGTTTGGCTCTCGGAGCACCGCTGCCCGCCCAGGGGCGCTGGGCTCAGCTCCGCGCGTCCCACACGTGCATGCGGCCCTGGAGGCCGCGCCGCTCCCCCCCGAGAAGGAACCGCGCAGCAGCAGCGCAGAACCCCGCAGGCGCGGTGCTGGGAGCCCGAATCGCGCAGCCCTGCCCGGAGCGGCCGCTGTACGGGAACGCGGGGCTGGAGTCTTGTTCCTCACACCACTAACGGCCGTATCTGAGAGAATTCCTGATGAAGGAGGCCCCTTGTTGCTCGTTTTGCTCTCGGCTGGATGTGGGTGACCGCCGTTTGGTTAAGGACAGACTTTTGCTGCGCTGAATGCTGAGCAGAGGGAGGTATTCTGCAGAGCCGCAGTGCCCCGCTCCTGAATCACACCGTAATATTCACCCTTTTTTTATAGGCAGAAGGAAATGCTGACAAAGCTCACCATCTACCCCCCGTGCACTGCATGTGTCTGTGCCCTGCAAGGCTCCAAATATCACCAGTTTCCTTTTATATGTCTGTCTAATTTCCCCTCTACCTTCTTTTGGTTCACGCTACGTTTATACCTTCCGATCACACACTGTGAAGCCAGGGTCGGTGTATTTTAAAATAAGACTCCAATAGAAGTTTATATGGCATCACATCTCTCATTGAGGCCCCTCATTCATTGCTCCGCCTCACCGGGTGCCTTTAGCTTCCATTTGCAGAAGGTTTGGCAGCAGCAGCCACACACTGTGCTCAGCTGGCACCAGCAAGGCTTGGGCGGCGTCTTAACTGGTGGGTGATGCACTGAAGGGAAGGTGCCCCCCAGGTGGCCCAAGCCTGAGTCACAATGGCAGGAACTGAACTGAGAAACACCAGTCCACTGCCCACCATGAAATGCAGTTGCTTTCTTTGTTTCTGCTTGAGGTTCAGCAGCAAACTCTGCTTTTCCATACAGTTCTTTTTCGCTGAGTTGTGTTGAAACAGAGGGTATGTTTCCAAGAGCTGTCATGGAGCAGTTGTTGATATGCCAGGTGTTGCATAAACCCTCTGCTTTTCTATGAGGCTTTTATATGGAGTATTTCATACAATTAACAGAATCATTAAGGATTTGCTAAGTACTATTTTAACTGTTACTGAATTCCGCAATCTGATTTGCTTTGCTGTTGGTTGTGAAGGTCTTCATGTGCAGAGCATTCCTCCAAGGCAAGGGAACAAAGCTGAGCCTAAAGTAACTCTGTGTCATCTCTCTCAAGTCTGAATTAAGACACAGTGCTGCAAGAGCAAGCACTACCAAAAGCTTAACCTTGTGCTCAACTGCAAAAATAAGATTGAAAGGGCACGGCCCCTGCTGCAAATGGAGATATTGTGTGCTGAGCTCTGTACCAACCTCCCTGCACCGCCAGGGCTTCTTGGGGCAGAAGGTGATGTCAAGGGAAGTTCAGAGTCATCAGTTCTCTGAGCTGAGGTGGTGTCTGCAGTTCTAAAATGCAGCTTGGGAAAGCACCATCAGTGTCTGACATAAGGTGATGTTTGGTAGTGATGGTGAGCACGGCTGTGGAGTATTTGTAGAAAGCAGAGAGGGCTGCGGCAAAAGAGGCCAAAGGAAAAGGTTCTAACAGTACTATTGATGGTTGCAGTGTCAGCTCTTAGAGCCCAGGCAAAGCTTTGCCTTCTGAGACCCACAGCTGCCAGGGGTGAGCAGCAGAGCTGCTCTTCCACTGAGTCAGTACTCAAGGGAGAAGTTTGTATGATCAGAATGAGAATGTGCCAAAGCAGAGCTGTACATGCAACACATATGGCAACCTGGTGGGTGCAAGCTTACTGGCAGGGGGAGAATTACAAACTGTTGTGTCAGATATTTACTGCCTGAAACAAATTGTGGTGATTACAGAAACAGGGGAAGGGAGGGCTTCTCTCACAGGTGGGATATGAGTCACAGGCCTGGTGCTGCCAAGCTTCCAGAGGTATAAATCTGAAAGGAGTCACCATTAGTTGTGAATAATGTGTCGAGGTCAAGGTGCTGCATGCTTCAACTCACTTTTATGATCCACTGAATGCTGGGATTAGAGAAAAAGTGTGAGCAAAGAATATGGATTTTCCTGAATATAGCGGTGGCTGGGGGAGGCTGGGGGGAAGGGAATCGGATATAAATGATACAGTGGAATGTGAATTTGTGTCATTGGCAATTTCTGCTCAACTGCTGGAAGTGAAAGATGAAATAATTTATCTGGGATCAAGTTATGTATAAAAGGAGACTTGCAAAGCAAAGCAATGCAAAACAGAGAGCTGGGAAGGGCTTAGTTGGCCAGTGCCTACACTGGGTTTGTAAGGTAAAAAAAGCTATCTAAAAATGCAGTAAGTTCCAGATATTGAAAAGCCTCCTCTTTCCCAAATATTTTAATGAGAACGGGAGAAAGTTAGAGCTGATGAGGGAAGAAGACTGGAGCTGGGTCAGAGAACAGACAAGGGCTTGTTTTAAAGTTATTGCTAGAGAACACAGCATTCAAACTCAAAAGTGAAATCAGCAGATGCAGACATCACGCTCTGGTTATGTTGAGTTGTAGATCTGGAAATAACCTTGAGAAAGAGTAATTGTGAAGGAAAGGTACTGAGTCATCAGCAACGAAATAAGTGAGGAGGGACGGTTTGCTGCGAGTTAATTACTGAATGCTTGAAAAGCCATGATAGTGATAGGACCAGGGGGAATGGCTTCAAGCTACGGCAGGGGAGATTCAGGCTGGACATGAGGAAGTGTTACTGCTCAGAAAGGGTGGCCAGGCACTGCAATGGATGCCCAGGGAGGTGGTGGAGTCACCAACCCTGGGGGTGTTCAAGGAAAGGCTGGATGTTGTGTTGAGGGACGTGGTTTAGTAGGAGCTATTGGGAACAGGTGAACGGTTGGACTGGGTGATCTTTTAGGTGTTTTCCAACTTTGGTGATTCTATGATTCTATGAGAGACAATGGGAGCCAACCCCCAGAAATTTGCTGTGACTGCCACCAGTGATGGGTCATGAAAGGTAAATGGTTGCTTTTTCTCATGCATTGGTTTCATGTAACGGTTGCTTTTCTTGCTTGTGCTTCTGCACATCCAATGGTGCATGAGGCAACACCAAGGCAGTTGTAATGCTTGAGAAGCACAAGTATTGGTATTGTAATTATGATCAGTGTAATGGTTTGAGCTCGCTACAGATCAGAAGCAGCACTCTCCTTCAGGCTCCACTTTTCAGCAAGTTGTGTGCACATCACAGCCTCCTTCCTTTCCTTTTCTCTTTGGGCTTCTTGGTCAGCTTTGCTCACTGGCCTCCCAGTTCCCACGTTAGCAATAGGTTTCCCTGCCCTTTCGTTTGAATGCTTTTCTCCAGACAGTCGTTTCTAAAAGTTTCCTTCAGGGCCCCATTCGGTGATCTCTTTTCTGGCAACACTGCAGTTTGTGCAGCTCCCTCCCTGGTGATGGAGGCCCCTGTGCTGGTGTGAGCTGGTGATTCAAAGCAGGAAAACACCTGGCTGGAAAGCAATCCAACTTACTGTGCAAGACCACGACTCACGTCGTAGTAGAAGAGGAAACCCTAACTGTGGTTGAGGAGAGCTGTGTCAAACCATGGCTGAAGCTGCCCTGTGCTTGCTCCATTCATCCCATCTGCCTTTCTGCCCACCATACCTTCAGTGAGCTTCAGCTGCCCACTGTGCAGGGTAATATTGAAGCAGCTGCTACAGCAGTCTGTGGGGTAACGATGACTTGTGTGTCTGTTTCTTCAGTGTTCCAGGTAGTCCAAGTGCTGGGTTTACAGCTGTTGTTCACACCAGTGAGCCTGCATTTGCCTTTGCCTAGCAGAATGAAATTGGTTACTTAGTTCTGCAAGTACAGCTGCTCTGCCTCCTTGAAACCAAGCAAAGTGTGGCTGAATTCACTCTGAGATATGAGTCCAACAGGGCAATTCTAGGGAACCCTATGGAGGATGCAGTGTCATACTGCATCTTCTATGAAGTTAAGAATGATGGGGTTTTGTTGCTGCTGTTTCCAATATTCTTGTGGCAAGATTAATTCCCTTCTCTTAAGGAAGGACTTGGCTTTTTTGGTAAACACCAGTCTTGAAATCTCCTTTGATAGATCGCTTCTATAATTTGTGTTATATCCACTGTATTTAATGCTTGCTTTGATCTTTTATCACAGTGCTGCTCCCGTTGTTTTACAAGTATTATTTCTAAAGGATTTGACTTTGTGAAGCTAACATTCACTGAAGCCATTGAAGATGTGAAACCACAGCCTCGCTTCTCACATCCTCTTCTACAAAATTCACATTTAGTTTCAGTCTCTGCTGCTGTGCTCAGTCCTCCAACCCTTTGAAAAACTGCTCTTCCCTCTTAAAGAGTGGATCCTCCTGAAGACTAACAGTGATGAGACGCTTCAAACAGAGTATTTTTAATTGAACCTTCATACGGTCATTGCATGACTATTCTACCTGCTGGCTTTTTTCAGCTGCCTTGTTTTCAGAATGATTTTGCTGATTGGGGCAGTTGTTCATAGCGCTGTTTGCAGGTCCTGATCGCAACCTGGGCTTTGCTCTTCTGTCTTTGCATCCAGAAATCCCCAGTTTGCAGCTGTTATTCAGCTTTGTGAACCTTTACCTCCAGTTTACAGTCTCATTTTAGTCCCTGCGGCATATTTGTAGCTAAATCTCTCACAATTTACAGACAGACAAACGTTTGTAAACCTTTCAGCATGGAGTAGACAAGCAAATGCACGTGCAGAATGCAATGAGCAGCACAAGATTACTCACTGAACATTTCCATTATCTTTGTATTCTTGTACTGTTCCAACTACTGGATGCCACATGGCGTGTTTGGACTCTAGAGGCCTTATTAGAAATAGTAATTATTGCTGTCCAGATTTTGTGAGTGAGCAGCTGAGGCAATCTAACTTGCTGAAAGTCACACAGCCAGTGGCTGAGCTGAGAGCAGCAGTCACCTCCTTTGTGCTTCAGTTGCAGACAGCATGCTGTGTTCTCCAGGAGAATGCTGGTATGGTGGCTGTGCAGCAGCGTACGTGATTCAAAACTGTAGGTAGTTCTGCATATTTAATGCATAACTTGCCTTATGTTTTGTTTCAAGCACACCTTCTAAGGGGTAACAGTGTGCAACAAGTCCCAGAGGGGCAGTGTCAGTACCTCTTCCATCTCAGTTTACGCTGGTAGAAGTTCACACTTGATACACTCTATGCTGACACGATGGGCTGGAGATAAGAGCTAGCAATGAATGGCTTTGCTGTGGTCAGAGCCTGTTCAAGCTTTGAAAAGATTGCTTTTCGTTTTCGTATTCCTTTTTTCGTTCATTCTCTTTTGCCATATGAAAAGATCCTTTTCACTGAGGTTAGTTTGAGCAGCAGTGAGAAACAGCACCGTGGTACATCTGTGTGCCATGAACTATAGTGCCTTGAAATTTAATTACTTTACATTTAAGTGAGTGTCAACTGATGTGGATTGCACAAGTAACATTCTCATCACTGAGCTCTTTCAGACGGTGGTGAGGCACTGTTCACAGGCTGCCCAAGGAGGCTGTGGATGCCCATCCCTGCAGGCATTCAAGGCCAGGCTGGATGTGGCTCTGGGCAGCCTGGGCTGCTGGTTGGGACCCTGCACACAGCAGGGGGTTGGAACTGATGAGCATCGTGGTCCTTTTCAACCCAGGCTATGTTTAGACGACTCTGCAGTCTCAGGCAGACCAGTGATAGTTATGTGAGAGATTGGTGCTTGTTGGTGTGTATGGTCTATGTGTGGGGACACTAGTTGGCATATGGATCCTCTGTGTGCCTCCAAAGTACTCATAGCCCATGTTACAGTCATGGTGAAGAACCCATGCAATTCAATGTCAAACTGGTAAATAACCTGTGGAACTCACTGGCACGCAATACAGCTGCCAACAACGTAAGCAAGCTTAGAAAAAGGTTTTGAAAACGTAAATACCAAGAACCAGAGAGCATGTCATATCTGGGGAAGAGGTGAATCTGGAGATGCTAAAATAAGTGTGTTAAGAATGTCACTGTGATTTGATTACGACTGCTGAGCTGTCCGTGTATTCAAGGTTCCTGTGACGAGGATCTTGGTGTTGTGCTTGCACAACAGCTACTTCAGTTCCTGGCACTCAGGATGCTGGGTTTTACCACTCGGTTCTGCACTTAGTGGAAAGAAGGCCCAGGCCTGATGAAACGGCCTTTGCAAGGTCAAAGCAGGCAGAGACGAAAAGCAGACAGAAGAGCAAATCTAACAAGTTGAACATGAAGCTGAGGTCGTGATGTGGCACTGGGCTGCTGACAAAATGAGAGCTGCCCTCACGCCCCAAAGCTCTCGCTGCCAGAGGCGAGCAACACAACTCCAGACCTAATCCGTTACCACCACCTACATGGGTTACAAGGGAGAGGGGGAGCCGTACTGTGTATTTTTTTGTCCTTCTTCCATTTTCTCCTGGTAAGCTGCCCGTATTTTTTGGCTGCAGCATTCACCCTTCCTTCCAAATCCTTCCTTCCCGGTGAAACTGAAGGCAGCTCTGCTGTTAATGTGTGTGCAGTGAGACAGGGGTGAAGGTTTCAGCCCCAAACCACCGCGTGCGATGGGTTCAGCAGGGAAGGAGCCAACCTCCTCCTTGAGCACTGAAATGCTCTCAGGTATCTCTCCTAGCGTGACAGCCTTCAGCCAGCAAGCTGCAAGGTAAGACCGGGCTTTCAGTGCTGGTATTTGGAAGGATGAGCATTTCCGTGCAGCAGTAAACACCCCACGTGTTGTGGCAGCTCAGGTAACGCAGGCAGCTCAACTCTCAGGATGTGGACATTGAAAAAAATACCTTCCACACCTCACATTCTGGCTGCTGATTGTATGTGGCTGTTCTCTTACAATTTCCTTCCTGCACAGGCAGCAATCACTAATTTTAGACTGGCTTACATGTGAGAGTAACATTTCAGGCTTGGAAACGGTTTTGCTACTTGCTTCTTAAGAACAAACCTATCCCATCTTTCTAGGTGACGTGCTGCTCTGTGAATGTAAGTGACAGATGGCAGAGCTCTTGATTGCAAAGAGGAAGCAACCATAGCACACAACTATTTTGGCTTGAAGGTGTCCAGGACTAAATGACAAAACTGATCGATTTGTGCAATAGCTGTTAGAGAAAAGCACACATTGCCTAGCAACATTCAAAAGGAAAATTATAATCTCTAGGTTTTGCTGCCAACAGTCATCAAGTGGATAATACTAGACAACTAATTACATGTAGGGTAGCATTTATATTAGCTTTGTAATTCTTATAAAAGTATTCTGAGTCTTGCTATGACTGTTTTACAGCCTTTGGTTTGGTAATGCACAGTCAGGTGATCTTGTTTCCTTTTTTCTTTTATTTTTTTACCATTCTGTTAATGTCAGCCTTACAAAATACATCCCCTGCGTGTGTTCCCTGCAACATGCGCAGCCAGCTCCGTTACCCTGAGCTGGGTGAGGTGCACAGACCCCTCAGTGAGTGGAAATCACACATATTGGTACGCAGTTCAGAGGCTCCTTTGTGCTACCTGTTGTTAGTGCAGTGCCCAAGGTCCTGCTCTGAGCAGCATGGAGGAGGCTTCAGGACCAATGCCCTCCCCTCGCTGCACCCTGAGCCCCATGCAGTGCTGCCTGCATGGCACCAACTCCTGCCCACCCCGAGCACACAGCTCTAGCATAAAAACAGTCTTTGCTGTGATAAGAGGTAGGAGAGAAGGACCAGTAGAACAAACCTTAGGGAGAGCATTGCTCATGGAATGCTCAGCCATTTTACAGGGTATAGTAAACTCCTTTTATGTTTGTATTCCTTCAGAGCATTTCAAGTGTTTCCTTAAAAGGTTGGGGTGATCAGTCAAAGAAGTGATAATAATCCAACCTCTCACATTCCCAGGTGCTTGCCATCTTGCAAGGCTACCTCTGACATCCTGGGCAAACTTTTAACTGCTTTCAAGACCACTCAGCAGGAAGGAGACTGATATTTTGTTTTCTGCATCTCAGAAGATCCAAATTTCCTCATATGCACTGAATAGATGCCATTTCTCTCTGCCGTGTTCTGCTTCGTACAGAGCAGCAAAGCCAAACCGCAGACAAACTGACATGAGGTGATGAATCCTTCATCCAAAATGAAGAATCTGCCCAGTGACAAATGGAGACAGAGATTTTCAGCGGGACTGGCAGGCCAAGATGATGAAGGTTTGTTCTTACCTGATGGATTTTTTTCTTATTGAATGGAAAGGAAAATGAAATTGGGCTATTCTGTCAAACAGAAAAGATTTCGTATGGTATCCATGGCTGCTGCATGATGTGTAAATTGACCTCATTGTAGTGTCTCTTCATTGGGGGTGATCCCAAGCTATTTTACACACTTCAGCCAGAATACCTCAGGGATGGTTTTATCCATCTTGAAGGCAATCAGCTCCAGGTGTTACACGTTCTGTATGTTTAACAAGAGAGTGCCTTAGGCTAATAATTGAAGCAGAATGCATCCTGTAAGAATCACCTGCTTTGTATTGCAGTTCCTACAGGAATCCAAGCTCACATTTTTGTGTTTGTAAAAACATGAGGTAAAATTAAAATGATGTTTTACTGGCCAAGGCATCCAAAAGCTATTTGTGGTCAGGTAAGGGGGAGAGTTTCAGATCTGGAGTTTTGTTTCGGCTCTGATGTTTGACATCCCAAAGGCAGATATGTGTCACAATGGGATTGTCACAAGTCTGTGGGCTTTTAATCACAGCTTCTCTCAAAACAATCTCCCGATGCTCTGCGGAAAGCAGGTCTGTATATCCACAGATCCTCCATTCGTTGCCCTTAAGCAAGAAACCAGCTCATCTGGAACCAAGGTTTGTTCCTGAGCTCCTTCACTGTACAGTGTTTTTTCCCACTGGTTTTCCAGAAGTGTATTTTGTTCCTCCTGGGCAGAGCTGAACGCGTGGTTTTGCCCGCTTCTGTCGTTGTTTAAAACCAGGTTGATCTTATCCAGCAGGCAGATCTGGGGCCCTTCAGCTCCTTGAGCATCCCACAGGTAGCTGAAAGGGCTGCTGTAGTCTCTGAAGAAAATACTTGTCTCTGGTTCTGGAGCCGGCGTGTAGGGCTGTATTAGGCCAATGTTGGCAGCTACATATCCCAGTGTGTTTGCATCAGAGATCTGGGGTTTGTAGTCACCGACCTGCTCCGTGACCGTGCTGTGGGGGGGTGCTGAGCTCTGTGGGTGCTCCACGTTCTCAGGGACCACGCTGCTGGGTTCCTTTTTGATGTCCACGTTCCTGTATTTCTTGTGCCCTGACAGCTCCTGTATTTCCGTAATTGTGGGGTCACTGTTATCCGGGACCGGCCCACTGAAAATGCTGCTTGTGAATTCACTCTTCTCCTAGAAAAGAAAAGGATGACTGCACTAACAAACAGGCAGATGTTACCAATAGGAGTGATATCATGGGAGGATCACAAGGGGGAAGTGGGACAATGACTTCTTGGTCTTCATCTCAGCATCCTCTCCTCCTCTCTCCTCTAATCATCACCACAAAGCAGATTACAGTGAGATGTGGAGAACAGACAGAAGAGCTGCACATCTCCATGTTTACATGGACACCTCGAGGTCAGCTTGATTTGGTTCTACTGCATGAAATTTATATTGAGACAAGGTCTAAAGATCAAGCTAAGCTGGGCTCCGGTGCACAGTGCAAATGGGAGGACAAGGACTCTCCGAGTTCTACATCCCCTAGGGCTGAACTCTTTTCTTGTCCATATTTCTCACACCTACAGAGTGATTTTCCACCTGAGTATCTGTAAGTGAAAAAAAGCTGGGATGCAGTGGTGCAATTACCTGGAAGGACTTTATCACCCTGCTGTTTTCCACGTGGGGGAAATCTTCAAGCAGCCATTTTGGCAAGACCAGTGCCACTGCTGCCTTAGTTCTTCATCAAAAAAAGAGAGAGAAAACAAGAGTTAGTCTATTTTGTTGTCACTCACTTGTCCATTCTGGATGAAATCGTCCCCAGGGGTGGTGGGGGAACTCCAAGCGTGTTGATCACTCATGGCCTTTGTGGAAGGCTCGGAAGCATTGGGTTTACAGACCCTTGTTCAGGTAGGTTTTCCCATTTGAGGTCTAACTCTCCAGCTTTCCATCCTGCTGCTCTGGGTTCCATTTGTGGCAGTGGTGGAGGGTGCTCAGCATAACAGTGATAAGACAAGGGGGAATGGCTTTAAACTGAGACAGGGGAGGTTAGGGTTGGATATGAGGAGGAAGTTTTTCAGCCAAAGGTGGTGAGGCAGTGGCACAGGTTGCCAAGGAGGCTGTGGATGCCCCATCCCTGCAGGCATTCAAGGCCAGGCTGGATGTGGCTCTGGGCAGCCTGGGCTGCTGGTTGGTGACCTGCACACAGCAGGGGTTGGAACTGATGAGCGTTGTGCTCCTTTGCAACCCAGGCCATGCTGTGATTCTATGGTAATGTCACACTGTGTGACACTCCCCAATCTCTGCCAGTACCAGGGTGCAGATGTGAGGGGCAGCCAACAGACCCTGCAAGGGACAGCATTCTCTCCTCATTCGAAAGTAGCGGAACCAAATTCTAGTACAAAACTTACATAAAGAGAGCTGTGTTTTTCCTCTCTCTTCTTTCACTCCCCCTGTATGCACTGTATAATAACAATATATCATGTGTCCCTAAGCCTAGCTTCAATGGGGGAATCATTTTTGCTCTTTCAGTTGTTTTCTCCCATGCTGTGGAATTCACAGGTATCCTTTTCTGCAGCAATGTGATCAATGGGTGCAGCTGCCCTCAGGGAGAGCAGAGCACAGAGAAAAGGATCCGTTTCTGTAGTTAACTTTAAAGTATTCTGGAAGAAAAGCATGAGTTGGAAATAAGGGAAAAAATGTGACAAAAGTGATACCTTTTCCTAGCTGATTTTTTCAACATCAGAATGACAAGAACCACAGATAATATGATCACACTGACACCCATTCCCAGGAAAAACCTGATGTCATCATCTGAAAAAAAAAAAAAAAAAGGATGAAAAAGGGAAAAAATTAATCAGGCAGCTTAAAGATGGTGTTTGTGGTCTGATTCCTCCCTTGTGAATAATTGTGCATCCACAATCAGTCACGCTGACCTCAACTCCTCGCATTCCTGTTGCTGTCTCTACAGGTTTACCCTCAGTTCTGATGCCTGCAGGAAGAACGCCTGCATTTAAAGCTGGAGGCAGTGAAGCACCAGGCTGAGCACTGAGGGCCCTTTCCTGTGCAGATGGGAGCTGTAGGCAAGTAATTCTAAGAAGTGTGGTCATTGTGTTTAACCATTTCCCACGCAGAGCTACCTTCCAGAAATGCTCAAGTGAATTTTTCAGTTCACGTCGGTTTTGTTTTGTTTTAAATACTGAAACGGATCACAGCATAAGAACGCATGCAGAACACAACTGCAGTTAGAAAAATAGATGGGAAAAGTTTAAGTAAGTCTTTGGCTCAGATTGTAAGGGCAGAAGTCAGTCACTGTTAGGCTACTGTGTCTGCTAACATTCCTTCTCATAGGCTGGATGTGGCTCTGGGCAGCCTGGTCTGCTGGTTGGTGACCCTGCACATAACAGGGGGTTAAAACTAGATGGGCACTGTGCTCCTTTTCAACCCAGGCCATTCTGTGATTCTATGATCTTTTATTTTCCTTATTTTCTTACCTCCAATTTTCCGGAATGTACATTTTATTACGTCTCATAAGAAAACTAAGCTTAAATTGCAGGATGATGCATGTTCTGCTCACTCTGCTCACTACTTTCTCACTATGTGGCTTACTTTCCTGTCAAGTGAAAATCTCTTTTCTGGCTCTGACCTCTCCAAAATATGTGGAGTTTTCTCCTTTCCTAAATCTCCAGATGCCACACTTGCTGCTCTGGCCGAAACTTTTCTGCTCAAGCAGAAACTCTTGCTTACCAAGGCTGAAATACTCTGCTCTTACCATGCGAAGCCTCCTGGTAGATGATGTCCAACATCCTGTCTTCCGAAGAAACTGCAGCAGAGAGAGGAAAAAATACCCATCACTTCATTTACAGAAGTAAAGTGGATGAAGTAGAAGTTACTGTTTATTTTATTCATATTATTTAGAAAAAATGGCTTCCAGAAACATCATGCCCCTCTGCAAGAACCACAGGCTGATCGTGCTTAGGCTGACTGGCTTTGATAAGGACACAGCTAACATCCTCATCTGCAGTCTTAGAGCTGACAGAGACAATTCAGAACACCCAGCACCACGTCCTGAGCTCAAAGGCCGCTTGAACCCACCTGGTAACTTCTACAAGAGTCACTGATCGGTGAGTTTGGACTGATTTGGATGAAAAGGAGTGAAAACCATTTGGAATTCACAGTGATTTAATGAACCAACGACTGGTGGCCAATGCACTGAGCTTGTCCAGGCCTGGCAAAGCCATGCAGGCACAGAGGAGAAACGCCCATCTGAATTCTGCTTTGCACCAGCTCTGCAAGGACCAGCACAAACCCACAGGGAAAGCCTTCACTGCTTTGTAAAGCTATCTGTGTGCAGTTCTCCCTTCCAAACTCTGCCTACATGGTACTGTACCAGAGAGGTATGCAGCAATGTCAGCCCTGGTGTCCACCTGTATTTCATGTCACCAAGTTGGCACTGGGCTTTGACCTGAGCTGACCCAGCTAACGTTGCAGCTGTTTCAGCAAAGCCATAACGCAATTCACTAGCAAAAATCAGGGGCAAGAAACCATGGAAAAGGTCTTTAATTTTGTAGATTTGAGACAAATGCTTTTCCTAGCAAGTACTTCAATTCCCTCACACAGAGCAGCTTAGAGGGAGAGCACACTCAGCTCCGCATTACAAAGCAGCCCTTGATTATATGGAATTGTGGAAGGAAAGTGCCTGAGCCAACAACTCAGCAGCACTGGAATGAAGCACTTGTGGAGGACGGTGTCACACTGGCACATTTAGCTGTGGAACAGCTCTGGGGCTGCTGGGAGGTGTCTTCTGCACTCAGCTTTTGGGCTGTGCATGGCTTGTCCTGGCTTAGGAAAGGGCCATCAGGATGTCCAGCTCCTGAGGGCAATCACAGCCTACACACATTGCTGGAGACGAGAAATAGATTGTTCTTACTGTCTCTTTTAATTGGCCCATGCCCTATTTAATATTAAATACTTTCCAGAACTGAAGCCTGCCTACATCCAGCTCCAGGTGAGATGAGACTGGCTGCAGCTTGGCCGGTTCTCTGTCAAAGTTGGGTTTGTTTTGTCTTTACTTTAACAACTGCCAAACAGGGAAAGCAGCAACCTCATCTGCTCTGTCCCTAAAAGGGAGAATGACTCCAGTGATGTATTTTGTACAGTAAGATGCAATTCTCAGGTGTGCTGTTAGAGATCTGTGCATGATAGCAAGGAGTATCAGCTAGAAAAGGCTTTCATACGGGTGTGTTAAAGTCTGCAGTGTGTCCTGCAGCCATAAGATTTCCTTCTAGACCTTGCTTTTCTCTCTGGTCCACGGCAGGCTTTTACCTCTTGTTTCTAAAACTACAAAACTGGCAGACTGTGAGGATACCACCGAGCTGAGCTCTGCAGCTCCACCACAGCAGGCAGCAACTTCTACACACTGAGCTCACCTTGGCCAGAGCTTGGTTTGCTCACTCCGTCTGGGTAGGCTGCATACACTGACACGCTGATGTGGCTTCCTGCTGCTGCATCCTCTGGAAAGAAGCAATAGTTGCCTTTAAGTTGTATCTATTAGCTGCTTTTAAAGCTGTGGATTTGCTCAAGAGCTTCTGATAGAGCAGTGAAAGGAGAGGAGGTGTGGGGTTTACAGATGAAAGAGCAAAGGCTTGGCCAGATAACTGTTAAGGAAGTGCTCTGAAGCCAACGAACACCAGAATGAAGGTGGGAACCAGGAGACAGGTGGGACAGGTCTGAGATCTCGCTGCTGCTGGGCTCGCAGGTTGGCCATTGCAGGGCCATGAGCCCTGGCCATTACAGGGTGAGGAGATGAGCTGAAGTTGCAGCCTCATTACATCAAGTGTTTTGCCCTCTCTCTCTGTATAAATGCACATCTGTATTTCTGTGCTTTCACAAGCTCCAGGGATTACCCTACTTGCACTCCCTGCCACCTCGCTCATCTCTTCCTTCTCTTTCTCTGCCTCTTTTTTTCCTCCTGGCCTTCAGCTGTGGAACCAAATGCCACTGGGTGCCCTCAAGTCTTCTATCACTTCGCTCTCGAATGCTCCCATGCTCCAAAATCAAGTGGGCAGGGGCTCAGTTCCAGATGAAGTATTGATTTTACAACACCTTGACAATCTGCACCCAACAGCAAAAAGGACTCTTGGATATCTTACCTCGGATGTAGGTGTGGGTGTCCTGGCCTGGGACTTTCTTCCAAAAGAACTCTTCCTCGTGGCTGTATGGAGCTGTACAAAGCCACTCCACTATGAACCAGAGTGGGGGGGTCCTGCTGTGCCGGGGAGGCTGCCAGGCCACCAATATGGTGCTCTGGTTCTTGTGCTGCACATCCACAGCCAGTGGTGGTGGGAAGGCTGCAAAGAGAGGAGGTGGCATGGGGACCTGTAGTGAGAGCAGTGAGATTGGAGGGCTGCTGTGCCGGAGGGGGTAAGGGCGGGGGGGGGGGGGAGATGTTCTTGGAAGAAGTGATTTAATATCTCCATCTACGTCTGTCTGTCTGTCTCTATATTTGATATTGAGATATACACACACATGCATGCCACACAAAAGCACGTGTTCAGTTTTGTCATGTCTCCTCCGTCTGAAATGCTTTACCTGACAGATTTACAGGAAACCCGTGTGATTCTGATCAGGAGGAGATTAGAGAATTTTTTCCACCTTGTTTATACAGCAAAGCACCTATTTAGTCACACTCACTGTTTGTCCTTCATTTGAATGGGACTTTCCCCTCCCATTGCTCACAAAAAGAGACATTTTCAAAAATAGGAAAGTGCAGCCGTGGGGAAAACCACAATGTGTGGCACAGGGAGCCTGAGGCACCCAGAAGCCTTTCCTCCCTTCATGCCTGGCAGCTCCAGCTCCCGGCCTGGACACTGGCTATTTTGGGAGCTGCGAGCACGGACGGTGCCCTGCCAGCAGGACAAGCTTATTTTTAAACTCATTGCTGCAGCTTTCGGAGGCGAAGCGCTGAGCTGTGCTGCTGGGGCATCTCCAAGGACTGTGGCCTTGTCTGGAGGACACTGCGTTCCCTTGGCAGACGGGCTCCGCTCTCGCTTTAAACCCACGTGCGTGCACGATAACGTTTCTCCCCTCGCCATTCAGATAAAAGGCCGAAGCAGGCGAGCTCGAAGTCCCACCTTCCGGGCTGGGGTCCCGGCGGAGCGGCACACGGGCGGGGCTCGAAGCCCCTCGGGCGTTGTAGGCGGTGACGCGGAGGTCGAGCAGTGCTGGAGGCAGGAGGAGGCTGCAGGCTGTGCTCGACGTGTTGCAGAGGGGACGCGAGGCTCCGGCCCACACGGCGTAACCCAGGATGGGTGTGCGGGCATCGCGGGGCGGCTGCGGGGGGCGAGAGGTGGGGATGGGGATGGAGTGGGGATCGTGGTGGGGATGGGGATGGGATGGGGATGGCTCCCCCCCTCTGATACCGTCGTCACCGTCATTCGGTCGCTGCGGCGAGCGAAGCGTTGCTTGCTACTGCCCCTTAGTGTTTGGAGCTAACGTGCTAAAAGAGAACAAGAGCCGCCCCGAAAGGGCCTTACCTTGATCAAGACTGTCACCTCGTGGCTGCCGTTGGGGAACTGCCGGCCCAGCCGCCGCCACACGTCGGGTGCTGCCGCGGGGGCTGAGGGACACAGCCGGGACGTGCCCTGAGATGCCCACGTCGGAGCATCGCCTGCGTGCCCATTTCTGGCTGCCCTGAGCCCCCGGGCCGGACTGTGTCACACCGAGGTGACGGTGTGTGGGAAAGGATAAGAGCTGCCCTGGGCTCCTCGCCCTGCTGCTGCCGGCCAGAATATCTCAGCTGGCTTCACCCAGTCCCATCCTGGTGCTGATAGCCCAGCTTCAAAGGGGAAAGGCTGCCATGAGGGGGCTGGGGGACCAATCATGGTATTGTAGAATCGTCTGAGTTGGAACAGGCTTTTAAAAACCACCTGGTCCCATCCCTGCAATGAGCAGGGACACCCACAGCTCCATAGGTGCTCAGAGCCCCATCCCTGACCTTGGGTGTCTGCAGGGCTGAGGCACCTGCCTCTATGGGCACCCTGTGCCACCGCCTCACCTCCCTTAGTGTAAAGAACATTCTTCTTACTTCCCATCTAAATCTCCCCTCTTTTAGTTTGAAGCCATCTCCTCTTATCCTATCAAGGACACATCCTACTGAAGAGTCTGAAATGCTCTTTCCAATTTACTGGAGGAAAGCAAGCTGCCAAAGATGGAAAAACACACCAAATCCCCCCTTTTTTTGGTGTCTGCACAGCTCAGCACTTCTGCAGCGACCTCAAGAGCCAGACAAGCCACCACTGCACACAGCACAGCGTGGCCCTGCAACGCCCTACCACCACTTACCAGCCTCAGGTGTGCTGTAGATGAAGGGCAGACCCCAAGCACTCCAGGGGCTGCCCGCAGCGCTGAGCCGGCACCGTGCCTGGAACACGTAGCTGGTGGCACTCTGAAGCTGGTGTCCACGCTGCACTGCACTGTCCCATGCTGTCACCTGCAGGGCAAACAGGCAATAGGGCCACCACGCTCACCTGGGGATGCTCAGCCTACTGAGCACGTGGTGCTGCTAAACCCATAGTGCAGCCCAGCCTGGGGGTCTGCTGCTGAGGAGAAAGCAGTGGGTGAGCACAGCCGGAGAGCGTGAGCAGGAGCATGCTTGGCACAACGGTTGGGCTTGTCCAGGTTTCCCTGTGCCACTTTGGAGCTCATGTAGTACACATGGTGAGAATGATCTTGGAGGTCTTTTCCAGCCTTAATGACTCTGTGATTCTTTGATTCATATGCAGTTAAGGTCAGGGGAAAGACAACTGGACCCATTTAATCCAGGACACGGCAGAGCTCTGTCCCTCTGGCACCGGGCCAGTCCCCCATTTTGGCAGCTCTGCTGAGTGCTGGGACTGAGGGTCAGCCATCTGCCAGCCCCAGGGAGGGTTCCAAAAAGGACCTTGGTGCAGTTTGCCCAAGTGTAGTTGTGTGTGTGTCGATGAGGAGGGAATTGATTAAGTGGGTGTTTGCTGAGCACCACCAGTGGCCTTTTTGCACCTTGCCCTTGCAGAGCTAGATAAGACTTACAAATATGACAATTTCTGCTTTTTGCTTAAAGAAGCAGTGTTAATACTAATGGAAAGGATGTTCTACCCACTCTGCTCCCCAGGGACCCCAACCCGTGGCTCTATAATGCGGCTCAGTGCCATCTCACCTGCCACTCCGCAGCACCCACTGCCTTGTGCCGCTCCTCGCAGCGCACGTCCTGCAGCTCCGTCTGCTGTCGCCAGTGGATGGTGGTGGTGGGAGGTGACCCCGCCGTCGTCTCTGCGCTCTCAGCCAGAGGCACGGCGGGCACCACTGCAGGGAGAGCAGCAGCCATCAGCCGGGGATCACAGCACCGTGTGGGCACAGCATGCTGGAGATGCCCGTGGTTGCAGCCCCAGCGCAGGGCACAGTGTGTGCTGTGGCGTACCGAGCTGCTGCAGGTCGAGGTGCTGAGGAGCTGAGCGTGCCGTGCCCAGTGCATTGCTGGCCTGCACCCACACCAGGTAGTGACTGCTGCCATTCAGTGCACTCAAGGGCACCGGTGCATCCGTGGGGAACACATCCTCCTGCGCTGTCTGCGTGCTGTGGGGCAGAAAGCAGCCACGCTCAGAGCCCTGAGTGGGGAACAGTCATCTCCAGAGCTGCAGTTTTTCACTCTTCAAGTGAACTAGCAAATCATTCTCTTTGGTTCCTGGCACTGCTGCATGGCATTCATGTTTCTGCTGCAGGAAGGGAGTTCCCACAGCTCACTCAGGCTGCAGGGTTCAGAGTTTGCACCCCAGCGGCTCCTTTGGTGGTTCATCAGAAAACCCACACAGACTGCACGTAATTGAATAGCAGAGTGGGTTGACAATGAAAGCCCAGCAGCCTCGCGCCATGGGGGCTTGGCCTTGCATGTGGCACAGCATGTGTAGGGCTAGGGCAGGAAGGCCACTGGTGTACAGTCCTTATTTCCTCATGGCGTTTTTGTTTAGGTGCTTGGGCAGCCTTAGGTTCATGCTGGGAATGGGGTTGCTGTGCCCTGAGTGCTGGATGCCCAAGGAGGCTGTGGATGCCCCATCCCTGCAGGCATTCAAGGCCAGGCTGGATGTGGCTCTGGGCAGCCTGGGCTGCTGGTTGGTGACCTGCACACAGCAGGGGGTTGGAACTGATGAGCGTTGTGCTCCTTTGCAACCCAGGCCATTCTAGGATTCTGTGATCTGGTTCCCCAGTGCCTGTGTGCCCCTACCTGCGCAGGTGGAGGCTGTAGTTGGTGTGCAGCAGTGTCGGCTGCCCGGCGTCCCATGTGCATGCCAGGCTCCCCAAGCGCTCAGGGATGGCACAGCTCAGGTTGGCGGGAGGCTCTGGGGGGTCTGCAGAGAGGCAGCATCAGCATCCCCACCTTCAGCCCTACTGCTCCTCCATCACCCCTAACCCCACAGCGGTACTCACAGCCGGCCCAGAGCTCCGTCCCGCAGATCACCTCGTTCCAGTAGCTGTTGGGGCAGCGGGCGAGGCAGGTGATGATGCTGAAGGGCAGGCGGAAACCACGCAGCTGCAGCTGGGCCGCACTGCTGTTGAGAAGGCGTGGGGGACCCTCGGGGGCTGTGAGGTTGAGCAGGATGGAGAGGCTCGCCCACGGGCAGTCCAGCGCCGAAACACAGGTGATGGAGACGTTGGAACCCATTGGCACCACTGAGCCTGGCTCGATCCTCACGTGCCCCAGGCACCTGATTTGGGCAGCACCTGCGCAACGCTCACAGCTTCAGTACAGCCCCCAAGTGCAGGGTGCAAGCAGCTGGTGACTCATTGCTCAGCTCGGAAACAGCCTCACCAGTTTTACCTTCTGCTCTAATGCTTGAATGACTGCAGGGAAATAACGCATAGACTGAAAGCTCTGATCCCTGAGATTACAGCAGCGCCCTGACTCGTGCTATCAGATTGGGGCTCTGCAGCAGCACTGATAAAGCTCATGCTCAAATGACATCAGCTCGATTTGGCTTTCCTGGAAAAGGCACAGCTATGCCATGCTGTGCTGTGCCATGCCGTGCTGTGCCATGCCGTGCTGGATGGCCACTTACCTCTGCCCAGGATGCAGAGCAGAATATGGAGCACAAAAGCCTCTCCGCCTCCCGCCATGGCCTGGGCTGCAGCTGCTGCCTGTGCGGGGCATAGCCTGGGGATGAGGGAAGGCATCAGTGCTGCCAGGCACCCAGCCTGGGGTGCTGAGGGCAGTCGGGAAGCCAGCCCCCATGCCCAGTGTGGCAAGAGATCTGATGGAGCAATGGCTGCACAGCTGGGATGGAGATCAAAATTCCACTGAAACTCAAGGAAAAATAATTTTGCCATAAAGGTGCCGGGGCTTGTGAGTGGGCTGCTGTGGAGCCTCCATCCCTGGAAACAGCCAAACCCACATGGCTGTGGTGCCATGCGATGGGAACACCAAACTCTCTTGACGTCCCCAACCTACTGTGATCCAGCTGCTGCCCCTCAGACCCAGCAGGGGCTTTCCTACCTCTCCAAGGACACAAGCTCATGGCTCCAGGCTCCCCTGAAGTTCCCTGCACTCCCTTCACCCTCCTTCCCACCTGGTTCACTTCTCCCATCCCACTGCACCCGCTGGCCCTAGGGGCAGTGATGAAGGGCTCCTTTTTGGGAACGGGGCACAGAATCCACTGTAAAAGCTTCAAAAGAGCATTATCCACCCCGAGCTTCAAAAAGCTTCAAAGCAGCACAGTCCATCCCGAAACAACCTCCCAAATGCAGCTCACGCCTTTGCACTTCTCCCCCTGTTACCTTCGGGATGTGTGCGCTGACCTCATTTTCTTCAAGCACAGTGAAAGCATTCATAAGGAGCAGCCAGGCGCCAAACTGACCCAGGGAGGGGCTCTGAAGGCCTCCCAGCTGCCCGCACACCTCCTGCAAGTTGGAGCAAATTAAAAGAAACAACACTCGTGGTCTAGGAAGAACTCTGAGCAAATAATAAATGCTCACGGCAGCCAGTTGCAGCGTGAAGTCACAGCTCTGCTCCTCAGGGCATTTCTTATGCACACATTTTCATTCCAATTTACAGCACTGGCAAACTCCAAAGCCAGAAGGCACGAGAGCAGTCTCGTCTCCAGATACGTCTCTCTGATCCCATCTCTGTTACAAATCCCCCAGCACCCTGTTGCCGAATAGATGAAAAGCAAAGAGCAAAGCAGAAAGAAGCCATCTCAGCCCTCGAGCCTGCAGGTGGTTACCAGGGTCAGGAGCACGCGGGAGCCGAGCGGTGACAACAGGAGTGGGGCTGCTGCCCCACGGCGATGGGATGGGGACCCATTGCAGCCTCACTGCTGGTCACAGCGAGCAGGAGCAGCGACTGCCGGCAGCACTGACCTACATTGCATGCTGAGAAAGCACAGTTTCCACTTTGAGTCAGTCCATGGGAAAACCCAGCATCCCTTAAAGCAACAGGCTCACGTGTGCGCTTCTTGCCCTCTTGCAGGATGATGTTTTCCTGGCAAACTCCATGATTTCGTTACGCTCGTCTCACTTTGTGCTCTGCAACAGACACCTCACGCTGCCATCCCCACCACTGTGGGGGCTGCCGAACCCCAGATTTCACCAAGGAACTCTTTTATGTCCTGTGCCTAAACCCCAAAGCCTCCGGTGACACAGCCCATAGGAGCGGGGCTGTGCGTGCCCATTTCTCTGCTGCTGTTTCCCAGTGCTCAGGGCTGGAAAACCTGGGCGAAGCAAAGCAAGGGCTGCTGGTGCCACCCTCCCTGTTTGCCCCAGTTTGTCCCCTCCACCCCCACCCCGTCAGCGGAAGGGTTAACCTCAGTGACAGTGTTAACCTCTTTAGATGCTGCAACCACAGGAAATACCGCACAGCTCGGCTCACCCTGCAGCACAAGAAAAGGTCATGGAAGATCGTTTCCTAGGCAGGGCAACCCTCTCATCGGGGCTCTGGTGGATCTGTGCCATGCTGCTGGGAGGAGAAGGGCAGTGGTGGGCAAAGCTCTGCCCTGCTGCAGTGCCAAACAAGAGGCTGCGATGCCTTTGGACATGGAGTGAGCTCACGGGGCTGCAGAGGGAATCTGAGCTTGCTACTGACGTGTTTCATGCAGTATGGAAGGAAAAAGTACTTGTATCATCCAGTGACATTTTCAGGGGCTCTTGCCTTCCTTTGGAATAAAATCTCACTTCTTTCCCTTCTCCGCACTGACAAACCCAACACTCCGTCCTCCCCTCAGGGCAGCTGCAGCTCTGTGTTCTCCCATCCCTCTGCCCTTCCCTCTGGGGCTTTTCATCCCTTGCTTTATCTGCCCTGTGGCCTGAGTTCTAGAGGTGTAAATAGCCCTGCTGCTGCTGCAGAGGGAGTCCTGATGGCACAGCAGAGCACGGCGTGGCACAGCATGGAATCACAGAATGGCCAGGGTTGGAAGTGAGCTCAAGGATCATGAATCTCCAACCCCCCCGCCATATGCAGGGCCACCAACCTCCCCATTCAATGCTAGGAATGCCACAGTATGGTGCAGCACAGCACAGCACTGCATGGCACAGCATGCCACTGCACATTTCTCCCCATCCTCTTCCCATCCCTGCACCCCATTCTGATGCCTTTGCTCTGGCTTCATTCCAGTCTCAGTGCTGGGCATCACCCGGGCAGAGCCCCCAGATTTGCCCAGGAGGGGAAATACGGAGGGTCCTCGCTGCCACCCTCTCACCACACATGGGCGATGGCATCTCACAGCCACTTCCTCGCCCGCCCTATTGGGGTGAAATCGGCGGATTTTGCTACTTTTGGTGAACTCAGAGCTGAGAGCCTCGCGGAGCTGGTTGTGCCCGGGGCTGCGGGGACGTGGTGACACGTGAGTGCGGTGCACGTGGCTGTGCGAGTGGCAGCGCGGTGACGCGGACAGCTGGTCCCGCTGGTCCCGCTGGCTCTGACCGCAGCCGGCAGCCCCGAGAGCCATAGCCGGCCCTTATTCCTGTGCCACTGACCTAAAATTGGCGGTGGGGCCGGGTGCAGACATCGGGATGGAGGAACCCGCAAACAGCCGCTTTTGGGGCGGGATTTCCCCGAACGAAGCAGCCGGGACGGGGGGTTCGGAGGGGGAGGTGCAGGTACTGCGATGGGTCGGGCACGTTCGCTGTTTTGTCTTTGCACGAAACACCGGCCCGCGTGCTTCGCTGCTCTGCCGTAACCTACTTTTATTTTAATTTCCCTTCCAAGCCGCCTCATTGCGGTTTCCTCCCCCCCCTTCCCCCCGGAGTCTCACGGCCCGGCAGGCAGCGAGTGGGCCCTGAGCCCCGGGGAAACCCCTAGAGCGGGGCTCCCTTTATTTCAGCAGGAAGGAGCAGCACAGGGAGCACTTCCATGCGTGCCAACCTGCGGTGCCACCACCACGCGACGCCCCCCATATCCCGCACTGCAAAGCGCAGACACCCACTCCCCCCAGCAACGTCCCCCTGCTGCCAGGTCCCCTCAGCCCCCCGTGCAATGCAGCACCCCGTGCCCTCTTGCAGTGCTCCTCGCACCTCCAATCCCAGTGCCACCCCCCCCGCAACGCACACCGTCCCCACGCACAGCCGCCCCAATTCCCGCCCTTCCGGCTCCCACGCTGCCCGCAGGCCCCGCCCACTGCCGCTAGCCCCGCCCACCGGCAGTGACCACGCCCCTTCCCAAGCCCCGCCACACCGGCAGTAGCCTCGCCTCTTCCCGTAGCCCCGCCCACCGGCAGTAGCCACGCCCCCGCAGCCATGTCGTCGCAGTTGGCGCGCAGACGCCCGGCGGTCGGGGCCGAGGGGGGAGCCCCCGCGGGAGCCCCCGCGCGCGGCGATGCGGAGCAGGGCATGGCGGCGCCGGGCCTGTCGCTGTGCCTCAAGCTTCTGGCCGCGGCCTTCTACGGCCTCAGCTCCTTCCTCATCGTCGTCGTCAATAAGAGCGTGCTCACCACCTACGGGTACGGCCTGCGGGACCGCGGAGTTGGGGGGGGGGACGGCGCTCGGGACCCCGCGGGGCTCCGCGCGCTCGCGGCTCCGCGCTGACCGCCGCTCTGTGCCCGCAGGTTCCCGTCCTCGCTGTGCGTGGGGCTGGGCCAGGTGAGTGTGGCGCCCCCTCGCCGCCCCCCGCCCGCTGCCCCCCCCACCCCCCTCACCGTCCCCCGCTCTCTCGCAGATGCTGGCCACGGTGGCGGTGCTGCGTGCGGGCAAAGCGCTGCGGCTCCTTAAGTTCCCCGACCTCGACTGGCACGTCCCGCGTCGGGTGAGCTGACCGCTGGCCGCGTGCTGTCGCGGGTCGTATCTCGATAGGAAACGTGGGTGCAGCGCTCTGACCCTCGGCTCGCTCTGTTCGTTCCTTTTCCAGACCTTTCCTCTACCTCTCCTGTACTTCGGGAACCAAATCACGGGGCTCTTCAGCACCAAGAAGCTGAAGTAAGGACGTGGGGCGCTGGGGGTGCGGCTGGATGCCCCCGTGGGGTGATGGGGGGGGGGAGGATGGAGGGGAGATCTGGGCGCCTCACCCTGCTGAGCCTTCCCCACAGCCTGCCCATGTTCACCGTGCTGCGGAGGTTCTCCATCCTCTTCACCATGTTTGCCGAAGGACTTCTGCTTAAGTGAGTTTCCTTGGGGGCTCTGGGGCTCGAGGGTTGGGATCTGTTTTCTGGGCTGGGGGTCGTGGCTCCGTGCTGGGCTGGAGGAGAGTGTGGGTGAGAGCAGGAGCCTGGCACGGCTGCAGCAACGCAGGGCAGCAGCACGTTTCCAGCTCTGCCGCCTGTTCCCAGTGTGCCTACAGGGCTGGCACACGTTGGGGTCCTGTACTCTGCCCCTGCTTGCAGCTTTCACATGGGCTGTGCGCAGTCTGGGGGGTGGAAGGCATGATGCCCATCCTGCTGCTGCGTCCCCAAAGGTGCTGGGGCTGCAGAGACCCAGAGCAACACCCACTGTGGATCCCTTGCTGCTGTGGGCAGGGTTGCAGATCACCCTAAATGCATGCGTTGCATCCCCGCTGCTCCCCGCTGCTTTCCCTCCTGCTATGGGGGCTCTGTGTGCCTGTAGCTGACGAGGTGCCCTCGTTCCTCTCCTTTCAGGAAGAAGTTCTCTTGGGGCGTGCAGATGACAGTGTTTGCGATGATCATCGGCGCCTTCGTGGCTGCCAGGTGAGCCTCCCCATTCCCTCACAAGTCGTGACTTTGCTCAGTGCCTGTCGGAGCCCCGGTGCAGCCAGCAGAGCTGCCAAACGCTCAGTAAAGTGCAGCATTTGGAGGCCTTGCAGTGTGAAGTCCTATCCGTGCACTCTGAGCCATTCACGGCACGAAGGAGACAGCTGGGGCTCTTTTCTCCTTGCAAGGAGCTGCCAAGCTTCTCCTGGCGCACACATCCATGTGTCCCGGCACAGAGGGTGAGCGGGGACCTTTTCCCCTCCAGACATGCTCTGCAGGAGGAAGGAATGTTTTCCAGACTCCAGTCCCTCTCTGCATGATTAACTTTTCCTGACAGCTCACCGACAAACAGGAGCTGGAATAAATCTCCCAAGCGCTGAGCTCGGCGTGGCTGGGAGCTCTCACTGTGTTTTCCCTCCCCAGCACTGACTTGGCGTTCGACTTGGAAGGATATATTTTTATCCTCATTAATGATGCCTTAACAGCTGCAAACGGTGCCTATGTGAAGCAGAAGCTGGATTCCAAGGTAAGGCTGCCCCTCCTTGTGCTGCTTAGTGGCAGACCGTGGCCTTGTCACCTCTGCTGTGCCCACAGTCCCACCCAGTGCCACCGTGTCCCTCGTTCAGATGCTGTTGGCTCTCCCAGTCCCTGACTGCCGTGTTGGTCCTTGAAGCCTCACTGTGATGCTCTGCTTTTGGGAGGGAGATTGAGGGGCTCATGGGCAGCACGCTGCCTCGCACAGAACCCCTCAGGCAGACCTGGCAGATCACAGAATGGTGTCTGGCTCTGATTCTTGGTCTCCTGGAGCCCCATTCAGCTCCCAGCCCTCAGCGGTGACATGAATGAGGGTTTGTTCCTGCCTGGAGCCTGCTTACACACAGCTGTTTCCTATTTCCAGGAGCTGGGGAAATACGGCCTGCTTTACTACAATGCACTGTTCATGATCCTTCCCACCCTGGTCATTGCCTACTTCACTGGAGATGCGCAGAAGGTAGGAGCCCTGCCCCAAAAGCACACTCTGTAGTGACAAAGTGTTATCTGGAGGAGCGTGTTTCTGCTCTAATGCACTTCTCTGCAGCTCAGCCTTCTTGCACAGAGCAGCAAGTGCTCCAAATGTGAAACCGTGGAGTAGCTCCCTCTCCCCAACCTGCACACAGTGCCACGTGGCAGCACGGAGGGCTTTG